TTTTTAAAAAGGTCGTCTATTGAATGTGAAGATGACGGTTTTTATAAAACAACCGTCGTCTTTATAAACAATCCATGACGGTTTTCATAAAGAATCGTCCTCTTTACATACAATACACGACGGTTTTATTAAAAACAGTCGTCTTTTCTCCTATAATTAACGATCTTTACCTCTGAACAACGACGATTTTCTTTAAAAACCGTCCATTCTCCCAAGTTAACCTGTTTTCTTTTTAATATTTTTAACCTGTTTTGTTGTTGGAATTAGCAAGTCAACTTTGTTCCATTTATTATTACTTCTTCCTCCCAAATTCCAATGACTGGCTTAGAAATTAGAATCCATGAATGACAAGCTTTACTTGTAATTTTATCTAAGGATGACCACAACATGGTTTTATCACCACTATTTAACACTTAAGAATTTCTCCATATAATTTTTTTTTATAAAAATAAAATTTGTTTTTCTTCATTGTAATTAGAACAAAATGCAGTAAGTTCTAAATCTTAATATCAAAAGGATGTATATTGGTTTTGATTTAATGGAAATCAAATTCATAATTGTTTGGATGAAATTTATGATTTATATGTATTTGTTTGATTTGTTGGATGAAGTTTTTGCTTATTTTTGTTAAGTAGGTGGTTGTGGTTTTTTTCCTTTTTTGGTTAATTGGTAGGTTTTGGTTTGAAATTTTATGAATTGAAATCACTCAAAAACATACATAAAAAATGACAAATTGAAATCATTCAAAGTATATTTTTTCAAGAAAGGAATAAAATTTGGAAGAGAAAAAATATATAAGAAAAATAACCCATTCTTAAATTTTCTTTGGAACATTTACACTATGACCCTACGGGGTTCAGATCCTGGGTTCGTCACTGCCAGCACCACCCGTTTGACACTCTAGGTGTGACACTTTTGAGTTACAACTTTTGAGTTCCATTTTTTTTTCATTCATATTCAATGATGACATCAAGGATCATCATTAGGCTTTTCCTAAGATTTTGTTTTGCAAAATACATAATATATTAAATTCATCTAATTATTTTGAAGTAATAAAACAAAATGTTAAAAAATTAATATATCTCTACAAGCAAGTTGTTAAATGGGCAATTATTAAATAGGCCGACTCTAGACGGGCCGGGCCAACACGACCTTTTTCACACTTTAGTTGTGACACTTTTGAAGTTTGCTTTTTTGATTTTTGAGTTTGTTTTTTTTTTTTTTTTTTTTTTTTTTTTTTTTTTTTATTAAATGATTAAAAATCAAGGATCATAATTAGGCTTTTCTTAAGATTTTGTTTTGCAAAATACATAATATATTAAATTCATCTAATTAGAGTGTAAAGATTTTGAAGTAATGAAACAAAATGTTAAAAAATTAATATATCTCTACAAGGAAGTTTGCTCCACAAATTCGGCCCTTATTTAATTATGTAACTGAGTAAATAATTAAACGTGGCCGAACGGGAATGGCAATACAGTCATCCTTCTTGGAGTGTATTCATGTGGCATAGGGCTCGTCAATGGGCCGGGCCGGGCTAGCCCGGCCCAAATTTAACGGGCTTGGGCCGGGCCGGGCCGGGCTTTAAAGAGGAGAGAGAAAATATCGGGCCGGGCCGGGCCGGGTTTTTTTAGAAAATTCAAAGCCCAAGCCCGACCCATAGGTCGGGCTTGAGAAAGCCCATTGGGCCGGGCTGGGCTAAGCCCAACAGGCCGGGCCGAAACGGGCCTACTTCATTCGAAAAAAATCATAAACTTAATCATAAGGGCATTTTAGTTTAAATTTGAGATTAAACTTACTTAATTCCAATATTTTCACATCAAACCAAATTCATAAAATACCCAATAAAGTCACACAACTTAATAAGATTTTCCACAAAAATAATAAAACAAAATATTATTTTTGAGGTTATTACATAATTAGACCGTAATACGTTTTAAGAAATAATTTTAAAAAATAATAAGTATCAAAAAGATATTTTTTTTAAAGGATGGTATAAATAAATATGTAAATGTTTGGTGATGTGTTCAAGAAAAACATGATTATATTTGGTGGTAGTAGTACGATTATGTTTCGTGATATGATTATATTTAGTGATATGATATATTGTTCATCTTATTTATATATATATATATAATTGTTGTATTAATAATTGACACAAATTAATGTTCTAATCATCCAATTATAAATTAGGAATGAGTAAAGAAAAGTAAATGAAATGAAACAAATTATATATGTGATTTAAGTGATATAATCCTAATCCTAAACTCTTATTTATACATAATTATATATGTATGCGGGCCTAACGGGCCGGGCTTTTGTGGGTGGGCCGGGCCGGGCTTTCTTGGGCTTAATCGGGCCGGGCCTATGGGCCGGGCCGGGCTTCAGACACCCAAGCCCAAGCCTAGCCCGGCCCAAGGCGGGCCGGGCCATCCCAAAGCCCATAACGGGCCGGGCCGGGCTTTTTTCCAATGGGCCGGGCGGGCCCCCATCGGCCCATGAGCCCGCGGGCCAAATGATGAGGCCTAATGTGGCATGCCAATTCTCACTATTGTTGATGACCGTGAAAACAAAGAGAGTGATGTTGTGGGCCTTGGTCTGGACTCTGTCAAACAATTCGAGTCGTGTTTACCTTAAAAACATAATAGCCTTGAAAATAAATAAATAGCTAAATAACTTGCACACCAAATAAAAGGGTTAATTGTTGCAAGGAGATAGAGTAGGATGTTGCTGAAATGTCAAAAGTATGAGATAAGACTTCAGGAAGTTGAGGCTAAATTTCTCCATTAAAAAAAGAATTGGATTCAATATGCAACAAAGTTATGATGAATAATATTTTGGCTGAGGCTTTCAGGTCTACATACGTGGATCTTATTATTGAATAAGATGTGACTAGAGGTTCCCGAGCACGACTGGATTAAGTAATGTTTGACATGACACGTTCAGTATCTGTGGACGGGCCATGACATGGTAATTCAGCCAAATGGTTTGAGGTGCCCTTGATTTTATTCAAAATGCCTTGAGTCAAGGTACTGGTTTATGTCACCCTTAATACTTCCTCATATTGTTGATGTTTCGTACAAGTGGGTGGAAATAACAGCACCAGAAAAGAAAAAGTGCTGCTATTTCCAACCCCTTGTCATATTTCCTCACCTACCTTATCTTCAAAATTTTAAAGACAAATTTACCCTGTTGTAAAATGACTTCTAAGGACTAGTTTTAAAATTTGCCATGTGTTCAAGTTTTTTTGCCGCTGGATTTAACCCTACTTTTTATGTCTGAAAATAAAATTAAAAACTTGAAAAAATAAAGCCCATCAACTTCCCTTCCTCAACAACAAAGCCCACTAGCCCAAACTCCCTGTCATCGAAATGTATCAGAAGGTTTTAGACTTCTTGAGCTTTAAACCTATATGTTCTTGGCCTTGCAAGACAAGAGGATTCAATCGATTCCTAAAGACCGTCAACCCAACTTTTTAAGATATTTCATCTATTTCGTTAAACCCTAGATTGAAAGATAGATGCAGTGTCAACTATGAAAATTATTAGGCATGCTATATGATGATTCTCAAGCCTCCTTTTAATGTTTAAGGTTGTGTTGAGAAATTGTGAGGTGAAGAGATATGAAAGAAAAAAAAAAAAAAAAAAAAAAAAAAAAAAAAAAAAAAAATTGAGTACCATGGCACCAGTGCAGGCATCTTCGGATTGCTATAGCCTCATTGAAATCCCACCAAGAACTAAAATAACCTTGCAGGTTTTGAAGCAAAACTTAAGGTGCTACCTTTTTGGGACCCCATTTTTATTTTTCGTTTCCGCTTTTCACTGAAAATGCTTTCGGTGCTATGTTTTTGCAAAATGTAGAAATTGACTTCTAAAAACGAATCCAAACTTATGCACAAAAGTTGAGAACAACTTGTTGTTTTCTATGAAAACGAAAACATGAATTCAACTTCTGGGTCGATGGGTCATTCTTTGGCTTTGGGGACTTTGGGTGCTAAGAAATGAAGGTGGAGTTTTAGGCGGTGGGCGGGCGGGGGACGGCTGTGGGGTTGTAAGAGAGGGAGTGTGAGAGGGTGTGGGTTGAGGAGGCGGGGTGAGGATGTGGTTTAGGTTGGTGAGAGAGAGGGGGTTTTAAATATAAATCCTTTGTTTTTTTATTTGAATTTTTAACGTTTAACCTTTTTAATTAATTATAATGTTCATGAAAGATTTATCTGTATTTTTGTTTTTTTTTCCCTATTCCATAATTCCATGAAAAACAACTCACATAGATTATATGATGCATTTTTATTAAAGTTATACATTGGTTTTTTTTATAACATATATTAGCAAAAATACACTTGAAAAATAGCTCACATATTATTATTCTAAAATCATACTACTAGACATGTTTCACTATTTTTATTTTTTGAATTTTTTTTTTCAATTAATCTACCAGATGCATTCTTGAATTCTGAAATTGCAAATTCGTTTTCATTCTCTAAAAATATTCTTAGAAAATATCATCTGAAAACATTACTAGACGGACTCTAAAAAATTTTCCAGGAAAATCAGGACTGCTTTAATTAATAATTAAATGGTATTTTATGAACAATGGTGAGTGGAAAGATAAAATAATATTTTTTCAAATTTACATGATAAATGATAAGATAAAGTGAGTCAGGAAATAGGAGGGGAAAGAAGTAGCAGCACTCAAAGAAATAGATAAATAGAATTTTAACCTCGTCTTTTGCGCTTTTCCTATTATTTTTCTTGATGGATTTTCTCCCACGGGCTTTTGGCCTTCGTATATGCGCAAATTACATCCGGCCCTACATCCCAGCTTAATAGAGAAACACAGGAAACAACCAAAGTTCTTTCCCATTTGCTGAAACTCTTCAAAACCCTAGAACTATAAAATTTCCGAATACACAGCGTTTTATTGCTCCCTCTTTCTGGTAAACCTAGGGTTTCGACAAACCCTAGCTCAGAGAACCTTGGCAAGCAATTCTGAAGCCAGCGATGGACTTCGACGAGTACGATTATCTGGAGAAGACTGTACAGGAGAACGACGAGCGGGACTCGAAGAAGAAAACGAAGAAGGACGGAACCGAGAAGAGTTACAGAAAAAGAGAGGTTGACGACGACGTTTCGGTCGGTGCCGAAGATGAGGATAGGAAGAGCAGTAAGAGGTCGAAGGGCGAGTACGAGAATGGCCGCGATAAGGATCGGCACCACAGAAGTGGTAGAGAGAGGGAGAGAGAGGGCGAAAGGGACAAGGACCGAGATCGTGATCGCGAGCGGGAAAGAGACAGAGACAGGAGTAGTAGAGATAAGGAGAAGGAGAAGGAGAAGGAGAGAGAAAGAGAGAGGAGGGAGAGAGATAAGGAGAGGGAAAGAGAGAGGAGAGATAGAAGAGAAAGGGAGGAGAGAGAGAGAAGAGAGAAGGAGGAGAAAGAGAGGTCTAGGAGGAGTGTGAGTCGATCCGAACGTGAAGAGAAAGATAGGCCTCGCAGAAGTAGTGACCGTGAAGAGAAAGAGAGGCCTCGCAGAAGTAGTGACCGCGAAGAGAAAGAAAGGCCTCACAGAAGTAGCGACCGCGAAGAGAAAGAGAGGCCTCGCAGAAGTATCGACCGCGAAGAGAAGGAGAGGTCTCGCAGAAGTAGGAGCCGCTCTGATCGTGATAGGGAGAGGGAAATTAGAGAAAGGGAACGAGAAATTGAGTTGAGAGAGAGCAGGTAATATTAGTATTGATAATATGATTGTTTGCTTCAATTGGGTTGTTTTGTGATGTTAGGTTCTCATACTTTATCTGGTTTGCTCTTCTTAATGCCCGTGTTGGTACTTGCATAAGTATTTTGTATGGTAATGTGGATAGTTTTGTGGGAACTACACGCATTATTTGTCTCGCACCTTCAAACATTTTTTACGTAAGCAACCGCTGTTCACTCGGAGTAGTTACAATGATGTTTTTTTTTTTTCAATTTTACTTTTAGATTAGGAAATTAATAGTTAAGAATGAATCGAGCTTTGGCCCCAGGATTGTTTGCCGGAACTTTTTTTACCAGGGCATTATAGTTTTTGGCTGGTTACTCTCTGTTTTAAAAGGAATTTATGATTAGATTTGACATATATCATGTTTTGCTGTGTTAGGTATTGCAACTCTCTCTTGTAGACCAAGATTTTGTCCTTCTCTTCTTCAATTGTTAATTATTACTTGCTGCGAGGAGTATTGAATTTTTTTGTTTGTTTTGGAGAACGTATTGAACTGTTAAAATTTGGAGAAAGTATTAAATTTCAACTGATATACAGATATTCCGTCATCTTAGTAGCTGCGATTTCCTGTCAAGGTTCTTGCTAATAGTTAGAGACGTATTACAGTTAACAATATAATAATGTGTTGATTACAGAAAGGGGTTCTTTTGCATGCCAACAAGTACATGGATTATATTAAGGGAGGGTTCTTGCCCTTTTTAATGCACCATAATGCCTAGGTTATGAAAAGTAATCCTTAAACATTTCATTTGAAAATAATAATTATATTATAGTTTCAAATTATTAACTGTGTCAAATGACATTCAAATGCCAGGAGGTTTAAAGACAAAAAAGAAGCGGTGGAGCCTGAAGCTGATCCAGAAAGGGATCAGAGAACTGTTTTTGCTTACCAGGTATGTGGCTTGTGCCTTTGCTCTTCAAGAAATTTATTTAATTTTATTTGCAATCAAGTCTTAATCCTGATTATTTTTTAAGGGGTTCTTGGTTTTCTTAGAAATTTTAGGGCCCGTCTGGTAATGTTTTCGGAGAATGTTTTCTGAGAATATTTTCAGAGAATGAAAACAAGAAAACAAATTTGCATTTTTAGGAAATGAAAATGCGTCTGGTAGATAATTAGAAAACATCTTTAGAAAACAAAAACAATGAAAATGTGTCTGGTAGTACAATTGTTTTTCATGTGTATTTTTGCTAATTTCAGTTTTACTTTTTTTAAAATTCTGATATTTTTAGAGGCTAAAATTATTATAAACAATGGAAATATATCTGGTAGTACAAATTGAGAATAATATTATGTGAATTATTTTTCAAGGGTATTTTTGCTAATTTCTGTTTTGAAAAAATATTTTTAAAAATGTATAATTTAACAAATGAAAAATTCTATTGTTTTTAAAAAGATAAAACTATCTTTTTTCTTTTCTCCTTTTTCTCCTTTTCTTTCTTTCTTTCTTCCTCTTTCCTTCCCAGACCCGTTCCTTTTTGTTTCCTTCTTCCTCTTCTCTACTTTCTCTCTTCTTCTTGCTTCCCTCTTTTTCACTCTCACTCCTTCCTTCCATTACATGAATCCCATTAACCCATCTCTCCGGTTCCACTAATTAATGGTTGTGGTGGTTAGATTGGGTGGTGATGGTGGTTGAGCTGGGTATGTGGTGGCTGGTTTCTCTCATCTCTCCCTCTGCAACTCTCTCTCTCTCTCTCTCTCTCTCTCTCTCTCTCTTTTTTCCCTTTCCCTTCTTCTCCCTCTTTCTGATTCTTACTCTTCTTCTTCTTCCCCTTTTTTTTCTTTTCTTCTTGCTCTCTGTCTTTTTTTCTTAGTTGCAGATTTGTGTGATTATGAGTTTTTTTTTTCTAGAAATTTTGGGGCTGATTATGGTTGGAAGGAGGAGATTTGATTGTTTTGGATATAATTTGATTGGATTGTTTGCTCAAGTGACGGAGGAGAGTTGGCTTTGATTCGGAGAGACTGAAAACAAAAATGTTGAAAACGAAAACGACTTTCTGGTGTTTTCAACATTTACTCATACTTTCATTTTCATTCTCAGAAAACAATTTCAGCTTGTTTCTCAAAACAACCCACCGAACACGTTTTCACATGAAAACAGAAAATGGCCCTTGAAAATAATACCGAACGGGCCCTTAGTTTTGATTACAGATTAATGCTATTTAGTAAATGTTGTTAAGGGATCAGTCAGACTCACAATAAAATAGTCAGAACGATATGAGAAAACTGAGAGTTTATTTCAAATGTTAGGATTTTTAAAGTCAAGTTGATTTTTACAGATATAAAATTTGAGCTGATATATGCAGAATGATTGTTGATATGGGAACGTAATGAACCTAAGTTTGGGAACCTAACGAACCTAACCAAATTCTTTCCCTTTTGCAATTTCTCTGACTATTCTTTGGTTGGTTTAATCTGGTGATGACAGATGCCACTGAAGGCAACCGAGAGAGATGTTTATGAATTTTTCTCAAAAGCGGGCAAGGTTGGTTGAAATTCATTCATTCTTTTAGATTATTAGATGATTTTTTTCCCTTTTGATGAAGGTTATGTTATATTATATATAACCAGGTTTGCTACCTTCATTTTCTCATTTTGTGATATCTGAATTAGGATTCTAATCTTTTAATCCTAATACCTGATAATAATTACAATCTTGTTGCATGAGACACTCCTTCACACATTATGGTTGCATGTTATTGAGATTCATTTGCTTCCTGTTGCAGTACATGCTCCTCTGCCTTCAGTTACGAGTAATATAATGACTTTCTATTGTCTCAACATTCTGTATATGTGGGGTGAGTGAAAATATGCAAATGAGTTATGCGGTCACCTTGTGAACACCCCAAACTAGGTGCTTTATCACGTAGTGTCAATATCTAAAATATCTCTCTATAAGCCACTTTTCTTTCAATACATGAATTTCTATTTGGTCTTACATTTTTGTTATTGTTTCTTTTTTCCCACTTTCAGGTGAGGGATGTACGACTGATCATGGACAGGAATTCTAGACGGTCAAAAGGAGTTGGGTATGTGCATTTATATGAAACTATATTATAGTCATGTGTGTGTACTTTGTAAGATAGTTGTTTGCATATCATCCTTTTAGAATCAAGTTTAACAGTATTCTTAAATGGACTAGCAATGCGATAATGATGAGGGATGGTGGGAATACCTTGCAATCATGTTTAATCAATTCATGCTGCGTACTCAAGGTAGACGACAAAAACCTAATTTTTATCGTTTCCCGCTTTCTTCCTCTTCGTGTTTCCTGCTATAAGGGCACCGTTCTGCATCCCAGTGCACCTTTTCAAATTCTTCATTTAATGGTCCTCCCATTCTGTTGTGGAAATTGGTAATGACTTGGTGGAGTTTATTTATGATAGCAGATTTTCTGAATGGTAAAATTTTAAGTGGGTGGCGCGAGTGGACAGTTTTATCTCGATTTCCTTTGGTTCTGGTATTTCATAAGTTCAAAGTGTGGTTGACATCTTAGTGCTCTTTCCAGTCCTAGTTAAGGCTTATTTGGAAGTTCACTGTTAATTTTCATGATTTGGTTTTCATTATCAAACTTTAGCTCATATGACTGCTTTTTTATTTTCCCATGTGCCCTATCCTATTAGTGTTTTCTTGTAGATCTGTTTTTAATCTAGTACTCATGTTTTTGTTTTATTGTGATGAGCTAACATTATCTTTTATATGAGTCATCAGATTCATCAAAAGAAATTCAGCTTGAGCTCTCTGCCCTAGAGTTTTTGTTTCCCTACATCTCTTTGATATATGCTTTGTAAGTTTTGATTGCAATACTTAAGGTCTTGTATGTTCCATCAAACTTACTGTGTAGGGCCGTTGATACTGCAGGTATATTGAGTTTTATGATGCAATGTCTGTGCCAATGGCTATAGCTCTCTCTGGCCAACTACTTCTAGGACAACCTGTAATGGTAAAACCTTCAGAGGCTGAAAAGAATCTTGTTCAGTCCAACACATCTGGTGGGGCCGTAGGTGTTGCAGGACCATATGGTGCAGTTGATAGGAAACTGTATGTAGGCAACTTACATTTTAACATGACTGAGACTCACCTTAGAGAGGTATTGCTACTTGGTTTGTCATCTATGTTTAGTTTTCTAAATATATGTTTACTTTTATGTGTATACAACATAAGCAACTGTCTGGCAAGAGGACATTTCCCTATATGGACACTTATATATGCATGTGCTCTCTTTGTAGGATGTCCTGTCTTTCTTAAAGGCAGGATGTGTTGAGAAAACCTCACATCTTTTCAATTTTCTTCAACTTTGGTCCCATTTATTATCGACAGTGTTGATTATTTAGGGCATATAATGGTCCCTTAGAGTTTCAATTTTAGGTTTTAAATTGAAGCTAAAATTGAAGCGAGACTAGAAACCTTAAGTTTATGCTCTAAGTAATGAATCTACACTATGAAACAATCAACCATGTCAATAAATGGGACTACCATAAACTAGGAGTTGTTAACAGTATTTTTTATCTTCAACTCTAATAAAATTAGGAGTTCTTTCCTCACAATATTTTTTTTATTTATGTTGAATGCTCAGATTTTTGAACCATTTGGTCCAGTGGAACTCGTGCAACTTCCCCTTGATCTTGAGACAGGACAGTGCAAGGGGTTTGGCTTTGTTCAAGTCAGTGATTACTTCCCATTTTCTGTTTAGAAGATTTTTATGTTGGTTGGTACTTATTTATTTGTTCATTATGTTTATAGTTTGCTCATCTAGAACATGCAAAGGCAGCTCAAAGTTTGAATGGAAAGTTGGAGATTGCTGGTCGAACCATCAAGGTTGGTTTGCATTTTTTATTGTAGATTTGTAGGGAAGTTGGATATTACAAGTTTCTAGAGGGAAATGATAGCTTTAATATTTGTGATTTCTCGTCAGTATATCTGGTTGTACCTTCATAACGAATTTTTTTTTCTTTTGTGGATATCCCATGTTAACACAGTTATTGGACACTGTATGTAGGTTTCATCTGTTACGGATCATGTTGGATCACAAGAGACTGGAGCAAAATCTGCAGACTTTGATGATGATGATGGGGGTGGTTTGGTGAGTTTCAATCTTTTCATTATGTTATTGAATGTTAGTACTTTCATGTATATTTTAAGCACTAATATTGATGTTAATGGAATAACCAAAGGTTGACAAATCAGTTTTCAGACTAAATGATGGAAATTTTAAATGAAGTATTCTGAAAGAGCATAAAATACTTCCAGTAATTGTTAAAAATAAGGGAACGTCAAAAAATATTGATATTTAATACTAAGCATGTGTATATATTATATATCAAGGGATTGACCTATGCAGTTTAGTAAATCATACTTTTGGATGCTCGGCTTCCCTTAAAGCAGATTAAAGGAACTTATAAATGACATGGAAAGGGGAAAAGGAAAGGCTTTTTCCATCCTCCTGGATTGCAGAATTACAACGAAACAGATGTAATCGTGGGAGGATGGAGAATCCTGGAACAGTGAATTTCAATTGTGGGAGCCATATGTTGCCTGTTCTTGAAGTGTATAATATGAATGAATAATTCAATTTCTACAAATGTGACTTCCTCTGATGTGAAGCGTCTTTCTTTGCAGTCTTTAAATGCCCAATCGAGAGCATTGCTAATGCAGAAGCTGGATCGCACTGGTATTGCCACAAGGTTTGTCTTCATTATTCTTCACTGATTTCAGATAATTATGTCATGATCTTGTTTCTGATTGTTTCTCTTTTGGCAGTATTGCGGGGTCTCTTGGAGTTCCAGTGCTGAATGGGTCGGCACCAAATCAACGAGCTGGTACTTTGCCGATCAATGGCCAAGCGGCAGTCTCTGCTCCAATTCTTCCGGCTACAGTTATGCCGTTTGCAGTCACCGAACCCATTGGAAACCCCAGTGAATGTCTACTATTAAAGAATATGTTTGATCCAGCCACTGAGGTCTGTGCTCTTTAGTAAAGATTGTTCTGCTTTCCTTTGAAGAAAAAAAAATTTGTTTTGAAATTTAATATTATATTGCAGAGGGAGCCAGATTTTGATATAGACATTAAAGATGATGTTGAAGAAGAATGCTCGAAATGTGGCCGGGTGAAGCATATATACGTGGACAAGTAAGTACATAAATATATATACATACTGGTTATGAAAATATATTATAATTGCTTGTTTGTGTGACAGTATTGGAAGATGTCGTTTGTATTAATGAAAATATCTTACAAATTTGGGCATGGCACAGATTGGTTTTGGAGGTAGGTTGAGGCCCAAGCTTCCAACCAACCAGACCTTACCGGTTTGGGAAAATTGGAAACTGAAACTGACTGAAGAAGTTTCAACCAAGCTACCCCAACCCGATTCAATAAGGGTCGGGTTGTTCAGTTTCTGGGTTGTGCTTGAGCGTGGAAGCATTGAAAAAACAACATAACCCACAAGAAGACTACAGCACTTGGAAATAGAGAGAAACCAGAAACAACTTGTTTTGATTTAAAGCAGGAAAAAAAAGAGAGGCTGTTAGAGAGAGGGAGAGAGACCATAAGATGGGGTGTGCAAAGGAAAAATATGAAGCATGAAAGCACATACTGAACAAAAACAATCTCCCATTGGACATAAAATCAAGCATGCAGTGCATATTGAGTTTGTTATTCTCCAACAGTAAAAATAAAATAAAAATCCTAAATCACCTCAATAGATAAAGCACAGCGGATAATGAAAATCAATAGGGGTCATTGAATGACTGGTGAGACTTGATGGGATGGGAAGACTTAGAGAAGAGAATAGTAGGGATGGGCAAATGGGGTACCTACTAGGGGGTGGTGGTGGTGGTTGGTACCCATTGCCCATCCCTAGAAATCAGAGGGGTTGGCAGCTGGGGATGGGAAATAGGGATTAGGGTCAACAATAAGAGCATGTATTGGGTGTTAGATGTGCTGGCTGGGTTGGTTTAAAACACTTGTGACCTGGCCACTACACCAAAGTAATCTGGGGAGATAGAAAATATTTAAACATTTAAGAGTGGTTCAAGGACCAACCTGCATCTCCTGCTTCGGTTGGACAGGTGTGTCTGGTTCATTAGAAATTCAACTGCCTCAATACAAATTGATAAGATGAGCTTACATATTGCGCTAGTCAAAACCTTTAGTTGGCACGTTTGCATCTTACATCAGATAATGTAATTGTTACTTTTGTCACTTTATTAGCCTTGAGGTAGCCCCCTTTTAAAATCCTTTGGTGTGTTTATAGTACTTTCTAAGCATAAACCGAAGAGCGAAAGGAGGATTGGATAGCTCCTCAAAACCCTTATGACAGAGAACTCGAACATAAGTTTAGTTACGTTGAGTAATGATTTTAATATTTTCCTGGTTAAGAAACAAAGGTTTTGTTAGAATGCTCTCCATTTCCGATATTATTTCAGTTTGATGATGTGGACAACTGCTTAGAGTACACAGGCTATTCTTGCAAGCATGTGTCTGCATACATGTTTGATATGGGAGAGGACGTGGATTTCAAAATTTGAGAAGTTCTTTTCCATCCTTTGTTTTGTTTAAATGCAGAAACACTGCTGGTTTTGTGTATTTGCGGTTTGAAACTGTGGAAGCAGCAGCTGCAGCGCAACAATCTATGCATTTGAGATGGTTTGCAGGCAGGCAGATTTCAGCCCTGTTCATGGTAATGCACCTCGCCCCTGACGGAAGTTTATTTTTCCATTTCTGATGTCAAATATGCTTTTGGTAATTCTTGCATGGGTCTAAAATAATATAGTACTAAAGACCTTATGGACACACCTAGAACTGAACTCCCTGGTGGATTTTGAATCCATAGGTTTTACAAGATGCATTGACTTTCCCTTTTGGAGTTCCTTGTTGTACCTGTTTAATTGAATGAATTATATCGTTTCTCATTGACATTTGGTCTGTGCTGCAGCAACCGCAAGTGTACGAGGCCAGGTTTGGAGCGTAGAATGGAGTCAAAGTGTCTTTGTGGAGGTGTTTTTAGTTTACAGCTAGTCATTTCTTTGTCCTCTTTTTTTGTTTTGTTTTTTTGGTCAATTTCTTTGTCCTTTTAGGATACAAAATTTCCTAGTTTTGATCCTTACACATGTATGATTACATCGAATGCATGACACTCGCTTGGTGGAAAAAAGTGTGTAATTTTGTACTCCAACCGTCTGTTTTATATCATTAACTAATATTAAGAGTTTAATTTGTCTGTGCTGGTGTTTTTAATCTTACGAGCTCCCTGTTATTTTCACCTTTGGGAATGGCGTTGTCAAACAATATGCGTAGTGCCGGAGACACCAACCGGGCCGAACTTCTAACTAACAGCCCGCCCACTTCCATCCACTTCCATAGAACAATACTGTGACAACGTAGACCTAAGTGGTCATATTGGATCTTTGGGAACATGTTCATAAGATACCAACTAGGGGTGGGAAAGACAAAAGGCCAACTCAACAAAATGAATTGGCCGAGACCGATCTGGTTTTTGAAACCCATCTGCAAGTCTAATCTCATCCTCACGTGTCTTACATTACCTCATTCTTGCGTAACTTCATCTCTCTCTCTCTCTCTCTCTCTCTCTCTCTCTCTCTCCTTTGCTCTTCGCCCTTCTTTTTCTCATCTGTGTATTATATCTCTCTCATGGCCTCTTCCTTGACATGTAACCTTCGATCGACATGGAAGATGACAAAATCAAGGACCTCATTGCCAATGCAACATGATCTTTCTCATCTTTGTGCTACTGTTGCTCTTCTAACTCTGTCTTGATAAATACTATCTTTGAACAATTCTAAGGGGTACGCTGGTGAAATCCATGTGTGAAACTCAGGTGTATCTTTTCCTGAGGTTGAGATAAAAGCTTATGGCCTATTTTAGCTTCGGAGAAAATTATATGATGGTGCTCTAAATATAAGTGTCCATATTCTACTATGTGTATGCTGGCTAAATATATGTTATGATGTGGAGTACCTAGGTCGATGACTTTAATGCCTGGATGGGGACTGACTCTTAACTGGAAAAAGAACTGTTTGGATGACGGACTGGAGTACTTATTTTTTCACTCTAGTCTAATCATGTTTATCGTATTTTGTAACTATTTTCTAATGTTATTGTTAAAAGCTTAAGTTGGGTTATCACGAGACTAATTTCCTCTTGGGGTGAGTACAAGCGATAGTCTAAACTACAAGGAGATGAGGTCTATCCTTAGGCCCGTTTGGTTCACGGAACGGATTTGAGGGGAAATCATTTTCTATGTTGATTCATCATGTCAAGCCTAATAACATCTTGATTCATCAAAGCAAACTCTCATGCCAAACTTGTGCAACATCAATACACCATCTCCAACTCTTCGTCTAGCTGCTGGAAACATTAGCACAAAACACGCAACCGCTGGAAGAAGAATGAAGTACTCCCCTAGGACTTACTTATCCCTCGGGATGCTTTGGGCCTAGTTCTTGCTAACAAAAAAAAAAAAAAAAAAAAAAAAAAAAAGGGACAATGCTTGATTTACCACTCTATGGCAGTCCAAGAATCAATAAGCCTGGACCAACCTTCCAATGGAAAAGGACCCCAACATACCCATATGAAATCAAATAAGAAAAAGAATGCATTTAATGCTATATTGTAATTCTAGGGGATAATATAGTCATGAAAAATGTGTACTTAATATTGGCTCATTTTCCCAAACTTTCCTTTGAAGAGGAAAACAAAACCCAAGTGGGAAGGAGGGCTTCACTTTCCCTCCTACTTTTCCATGTGTAAAACAACGATTTTTCATGTCTGGACTACCAAATAAAGGAAAGCAATTGATTTCTCATCCCCAAGCCTCATTTCATATGAACCAAACGGGGCCTATAATGTAAGGGATTCAATAACCCTCAAAATATCGTTGGGTAACTAATTTGCCAAACAACCACAATGTACTATTTTAAGGGTAAAATACAAACTTTTTAAATAAATTAACTTAAAACTAATTAACAGTTAACAACCCAGTCCACTACTTCTTACTTTTTATCTTCGCACGTGCCAAGTATCTAGTTTTCGTAAATAAAAAAATTAATAAAAGGAGAGGAGTTTGTTACACTCACATGAGTATTCGAATATAAGACATTTTTTCACTAAGCTAGGTTGGCAAGAGAGTCTAGTTTTTATTTCTGAAAGAAGTAAGAACATCTGCTTGCCATTTGGGAGCTCCAAATTGTGATCGTTGGACTTTGCCTAAAATAGGAATTAGCGGTCTTGGTGGCGATAAGAGCGCGACCGGAAAAGCCTTCTCTCTCTCTCTCTCTCTCTCTCTCTCTGAGAAATCATCTGATCCATTAGTTATCTGATTTAAAATTATTTTATTATATAAAAAGTCCCTCATAAAAAATAAAAAATTATATAAAAAATCCAAAAAAAAAAAAAAAAAAAAAAAAAAAACAAAAAAAAAACAAAAAAAAACGTAATTTCAAATCTGAAGCACAAGGCTTTTGAAAGCCGAACATACAAACCCCAAACGCAGAGAACCCAAAAAAAACAAAAAACAAAAAAAAAAACCTAAACCACACACAAAACACGCAGTGGTTGCTTTTGCTTTGCCGAGCCACAGCTTGTTGCAGATTCTTCCCTCCCAGCGCTCTTCTGTAAAACGGTAACACCTACCCCTAATTCATATCTTCTCTCACTGTATTTCTCTTGCTCATGCCGTTTCATTAGGGTTTGTTTGTTGTTTGGTTTTTTGGGTGCGCAGAGCAGATGGATAAGTTCCAGAGGGTGGAGAAGCCCAAGACCGAGGCTGCGCCTATAAACGAGAATGAGATTCGCATAACCGCTCAAGGCAGAATGAGGAACTATATTACTTACGCCACCACTCTCCTTCAGGTTCCTCCTCTTTTTCCTCACTGTTATGCCAACCACAAACATGCCCTTTTTATTATTTTGTTTCCTCATTTGTTTTGTTCATATTGCACAACACTTTGTGTGTTTGTAGAAAAAAAACCTCTACCCTTGAATGAAAATGACTATTATGTTGGAGTATGTAATTCTTTTTTCTGCGTGAACTTTCCAAATTGTTTTATAGCTTTTAGTTCTGCGGGTCTCTCATGGTTTTGAATTGTACCCAAAGAGAGAGAGAGAGAGAGAGAGAGGAGAGAGAGAGAGAGGAGAGAGAGAGAGAGAGAGAGGAGAGAGAGAGAGAGAGAAGTCTTGCGTTTTTTGGGTTACGGGAAATGGAGTGCCAAGATGACATTTAAACGATCTTTGGGGACTGGAAGTCTAACAAAGAAGGATGAAATGAATATGAACTATTTTGTAGGTGGAAACATTAAAATTGATGCTAACATTTATGATTTATACATCTAGCAAACATGACAATGGGGTTTGTATTATGTCTGACAAGTTCTAACCTCAATTTGCCTAAAAACTACGACTTGTTTCCGATATCCATGTTTAACTTTAATATTTTTTGCTTTGGGGTTTCACAATTGAGGTAGAAGTTGCAACTTCAACTGCCTCCCATTGCGTCTGTCTGTGGTTCGTATTTTTCCACATTAAATCCCTTTTTTCAGCTCTACCTTAAAATACTTGTATCTTCTGTAGGAGAAAGGGTCTGATGAAATTATTCTCAAGGCAATGGGCAGAGCTATCAATAAAACTGTGATGATTGCTGAACTAATAAAGGTGAGATAATTTTTCCGTGTGGCATATACATGTGCTTCATGTGTGCATGAGCATTTGTGTCTATACTTATTTGCTGATAAAGCTCTTCTTCTTCCAGAGAAGGATTGTTGGTCTCCATCAGAATACTTCTATTGGATCAACTGATATTACTGACGTGTATGAGCCCCTGGAAGAAGGCCTGGATCGGTATGAAACCATATACTCTTCTATGTTTCTAAGCGTATGCTGTGAAATTTTCAATTTTTTTTTTTTTTTTTTTTTTTTTTTTTTTTTTGTTATTGTTGTGTTTTTGTTGTGTCTTGTGCTGCTGTGTAGAGAGTACTCGGCATGTTTCAATGATCACTATTACTTTGTCGAAGACGGAGCTTCATACATCCTCTACAGGGTAAGTCATTTAGATTTCTGTCTGGATGCTATGGATGGTGTATTTATGTTGTATCATGAGTGTCCCAGTCTGGTCATAAGTGATCTGGTTTTTTACTTTTTAAAATTTGGTAACTTTTATTATGTCACTTGAATCATACGTAAGGTCCACTGTATCCTGAGGAATAATATTACTGGTGATTGGTGCCTAGAATTCCAATTATATCAAGCCAGCTAGAGCCTGGAGATGCACAAACATTGCGTTTTTATGTGATAAAATTCATGGTGTTTGTGTAAGTATGTGGTTTGATAGATTGTGTCTGGTTCCAGGACAAAAATACATTGGAATTTTTTTTATATTCTGTGTGATTAAGCTATGATCTTGAATCCCTATATGGTTTTTAGAGCATCCCTAATTTTCTTTTATTTACTGGAAATGGAATACAGATACCAACCCCCTCTTCCGGCTGACCAAGTGAAGCCATTGAATGATTTTGAGGATAATGGAGGTGGTAGATATGTTATTGTTTATGTCTCTGAAGTTACTTCTATGGTATAACAACTTCAATATATTGGTTTGTGATGTGTCTTCCATATAATGATTTGATTTCATGAAAATCAGAGGGTTCGCCTAGATTCCGAGGTAGGAGTCGTGGTGGCCGAGGACGAGCTAGGGATAGAGGTATTGCTCTCTGCTCTAAAATTATTTATGTATTTTTCTCACAAGTGTCTTCATAAGCTCTGAAATGGAGTTGGAAATTCTCCCTTTTAAATAAATGACATCTCATTACCCGTGATGATTTCCTGATGTCCTTCGTTACAAGTGGCTTAAGTTGCTCATGGGGTTTTTCTTTGGTTCATGGTACTGTGAGTGCAGGAAACTACAATGGAGTTGGGGATATAATGGAGATGGTTGGGATGGTGGGCGTGGTTATGGTGGCAGAGGTAGAGGCCGTGGAAGAGGTGGTTCTTTTAGGGGACGAGGAAGAGGTTATGGTCAGTCGGGTGGATACTATGACTATGTTGAAGGTGCACCTGCCCAAGGTCGCGGTAAGTTCTTGGAGTAGTGATTTCTATGCTCTATTGTTATATGCATTTTATTTCCTCTACTGCAATTGCACTTGATTTTTTGGACTCACTGCAAGTGCACTTAGTTCTTTGGCTTGCAGTAGTAAATGGAAATCTTTTATTTTTTCGGTCAAAATAAGTGAAAATCGTTGTAGGTAAATCTGTTAGTGGCTGTATATTAGTTTATTGATATAATTTATAGCTTTTTTCTTTTTGGTTTTTGTTTTGCCCGGTTATAAGGACATTATATTTTTTTATCTGTCAAGTTAATTTTTTAGTTTTTTCATTTCTCTCTCTTTCCTGGTCAACATGCTTTTATTATTGTTAATATCCTTGAACAGAATTTCTCCCCAGCAAAAAGTATAGAAAGTGGAAACTTTTGCACCGTCATTATTCTTAGCTACTATTTTCAGCTGTATTCTTTGCTACTCATCTGTGGACTGTTGGAATTCTTGTTAAGTTCAATCAATTATCTGATAGTAGATGTCCTTTGAAGGTCTCGCAGGGCGCGGTCGAGGCAGAGGAAGAGGCCGTGGTCGCGGTCGTAATACCAGATTGGAAGGACAAGCACCCGCTGCTTGAGCAGATGTTTCCAAGATATGTGTGTGGACTTGAAAAAAAGAATGATATATGGGATGCCTGCTCTGCTTATGTCGTCGTGAAGTTTGCTGATATATCTATGGGCACTGTCTTTCCTTTGAAGCTTTATAAGTGTTGCAACCGTGATGCTTGAAATTTTGTTTTGTAGGTCGTGAGGTAGGAATACTTTAGTAGTTTTTGCTGATTAAGGTTTTTTATACACCTTACAAAAGTTGTAAAATGCTTTTTCATTTTTCATAGAAATAATAGAGCAGTACATTCTTTTATTCTTAAATGAATATTGCATGCTAACTCTAACAGAGCATCACAATCTTTTATTTGTTTTAAACTAATTCCAACAAGGCATCATCATTTTATTTTTTTGGTATGTGAAACATATGATGCATATATGCTGGGGAGCTCATTGATTCGTTACCACAAGCTGGAGGTTTCAGCTTTGATACCTAGCCTTGAATGTGAGGTCAATTCAACTCTCTCAAGCCTTTGTTTAAACCCTAAATTGTTGTAGTCATGGATTGGAGATCAAAGTGAGGCTTGTGTTTGTAAACCACCATTATGAAAATCCTTAGAAAGGATCGCTTTCAAAACCGCATATTTCGAAAATTCTTAGAAATGATCACTTTCAAAACCACATACCAAACGCAAATTTAGGCCTCTTATTTTCGAAAACCTCCCTTTCTAGAAACTCTCTGCTTCCACTATAAAATTGACTTGAAAACTGAGTTCCTATGCACAAAAAATCTTTAGTTGATCTCCTTCTCTAATTACATATTAAGTTTTGTGTTCTATATGTTGGTACCGTAACTGACCGAGCAACTAGTTAGGCTAGATCATCTACGTGTCATGCCTTGAGAGGTCATTACCTTAGCCAAAGAAGCATTACCACAGGTCATGACTCTACGCAAAGCAAGAGGAGTCTCATATCAGAAAACTACAAGAGATGGAGACTCCCCCTCACCTATAAAAGCATACTACTCTCCCTTGAGAGAAGGACCCTCTCTTCTGAATCCCAGGACTGGGCTGAGCTTCTCACTTGTTACCTTTATCTTTGGGTCCAATCTCCTTGTACAAATGTAAACAAACATTATCATAATGAGAATATACTTCTCCGTGGACATAATCCATTCATTAAGGGTGAACCACGTATATCTCGTATTACCTTCACCCATCATCTACCATTCTACCTCTATCTAAGTTGACCCTCCAAAAAAAAACATCAACACTATAGATAAAATGAAGGTTTATCATAAGCGTGAAGGGCCAAGATGAAGAAGAAGATTGTGGTACTACTACTTGCGTTCACTCTCTTATTCCCATAAAAATTTGCCACCAAATTTTCTTGAATTTGCACAGCAAATCTAGAGTGAACGTTTATGTTTTGACATTAGTCATTAACTCAGTGAATAATAGTTCTTACTCGATACGGGCTGCATGTTAAGAAATCATAAAGACTTGGTATAGTTACTAAAATGTTGATAATACACGAAGTTAGACAAACTACGAAATTTTCGAGCATTTGGGTGGGGATGGAACTATGATCATGAATTTCGGCCACCTTCGAGTAAGGTCAAGTCTAGCAACATCGTATGACCATATTAGCCATCGACACATGTGTACTTTCTGTTTTGGGTCAAAAGAGATACTTCATAAACCCCAGACAGGGGAGCCAAAAGGGGAAAACAAGATAAGCATAAACAACAAGAGCATACGCTGGGAAAGGAGCACATGCTGGACGCAGCTTAGTGCAAGAACCTAACCCAGCAAAACAGAAAGTTAAATGACAGGGGGGCATGGAAGCCCATCAAAAGTTAAAACACCCATAAGGGACGGTGGTGGCTGATCCAGCCAGGTGACCCTATGCACCGTTCCTATACCAAACGAAGCCGCAGCGTGAGCCGCTAGGTTCTTTTTGCGAGGGATCCAACTCCACTCAACTGCTTCAAACAAACATAGCTTCCATACGCCTAATTTCCAGAAGAATAGGAAGAATTTTCCAAGCGCGATTTTCAAGCTTTCCATCAACACCAGCCTTGAGGACAAGGGAATCTGTCTCCATAGTAACCTTACGATAATTAGAGAGCAACGCCAACTTTAGCCCACCCAAAGCAGCTTCTGCCTCAGCCTCCAACACAGAATGACAAATCATACTTTCCGCAGAACCACCGCATAGCAGTCCTTTCGAGTCACGGATCATCGCTCCTATACCAGCACGATTGGTGTCCTTTTTCCAAGCCGCATCAGAATTAACTTTAAACCAACCTCTCCTTGGAGGAGACCCAGTGCCGGTCTTGAATTTTTCAGGGTCCAGGGCAAAAGTAAAAATTAGGCCCCTACCCTTAGTAATGAACTCACTCTTATTTTTCAACCTACCCTTAGTAATGAACTCACTCTTATTTTTCAACCAAGATTTAACCTGTTCAAATTAACTAAAAATTTAACATTCAAGGCAAATAAATTGTATCGATTCAAACTTCAATATATAAAAATTTAGAATAAAAGGCTATAGTATATAAACAAGATAAATACTTATAACAATTCAATAAGTTCTTTTTCATCCAGCAACAAGCAACAAGCCAAAAAAAAATTCTCTAAATGCTGAATAGTTGAAGCAAAACAAAATCAATCTATTTGAAATCCCTTTGCATCCTTAGCAACCAGCAAAACAAAAATGTCTTTACATCCTCAATAGCCAAAGCAAACTGCAGCAGCCTACTTGAAAATAGAAACAATACAAGGAAAGCCAATGCAATTTTAATACTTCAAAGAATAAACAAAGAACAACATAACCTGGAATTTGAGAAATCCCCCTCCACAGAAACAAATTTGATATTTCCAAATTTGCAATCAATTAGAGCTTTCCTGCAAATACATAGCATGAGTTCACAAATCTACAAACAGACAAAAAAAAACATATTTCCCTTTTCAATTGATATAAAATCATAAAAAATTACCTTCAATTGATATCTACAAGGACCAATTTTGCACTGAATAAAAGCCCACACTTTGAATTTTTGGAATCTCCCCAATCTACCAACAGAAAATTTAATTTAGGGATTCACAACTCTATAAAGGATTCACAAATCACAAAGAGCAACTTAGTTAGGTGAGGCTTAGGAGAGGATTCAAACTCTGTAGAAAGAAGGAAAAGAAGGAAAAGAAGGAAAAGAAGAAGAAGAAAAAGAAAAAGTGACTTGGAGGAGTGGAATGGGTGCACAAAAGCGTTCTCTCTTCTTGAGGAGCAGAACAGACCAGATCAGATCGTTGGTCTTTTTTTTTCTTTTCAATATATTAAATCAGTTATAAGTTATAATAATCTAATATAATACTTACTATAAAAATAAATAAAAATTGGGCCCCCCTGAATAATGGGCCCAGGGCAGTCGCACTGACTGCCCCTGGCCTGGGCCGGGCTTGCGGAGACCAACGAGCAGGGAGGTTAATCACATTTAGATTGACAGAAGAAGCAAGGGCAACAGTTCTTTGAATCTCCAAAAATTCCTTTGTCAAGGAGGAGGCAGATCTCAACACATCAATAGGCACCAGTTTAACTCCTTCAAAAATGAAACGACACCTACTTTTCCAAATTGCCCACAAGATGAAACTTACAAAGGTCAAGCACCAATTTTTATCTACTTTATAAGAGCATGTCCAGCGCTCACCCCAAACCAGGGGAAAGGGGCCCCAGGCGAGCCCAGATGCGCTCCAGCGCGAGAGAAAGAGCCCGGGCAACTGCTGGGTCCCACCAGCCCGGGCAGGCCCAAGGGCAAGTTCTGCCTGGGCTTCAGCCCGAGTTTTGTGACGTCAACACACGGAAATTCTTTTTTTTTTTACTGTTGTGCCACGTGTCACGACAGGGACGCTCCGATAGTTTTTTTTCCAGAAATCCGACGGCCAAAAAAATTCTGAATTTTTTTAAAAAAAATACCAAAAAATTATGTATTTTTTCCCTATAAAATACCTAACCATTTTATTTAATTTCCACACCAAATCTTCATACAATTCTTCTACATCCAATATTTTTTATCCAAAAATTTAATTACAAAATATTATCAAAATTAATGGTTTAAAGTTTAACAAAATAGAAAATAAAGTACAATGAATAGTATTTGCCTTAGACTTGCCCTAGACTTTGCCCTCATGGATGGAACCACAAATGGCAAGGCTAACACTATTCACGTGAATAGTGGCAGCCCTTGCTTGCCCTTGCCTTAGACTTAGCCCTTATGGGTAGAAGTGCTCTAAGAGAACTCCATTTGGGTCAAGTTAAGAAACCACTGATCAAAGGTTCGAAAGCTTTGGGGATTAATTCTATAATTTAACTCAGAGCCAAACCAAACTGTTCGAACCCAAGGACACAAGAAAAACAAATGTTCCTTTGATTCCTCCAATTCTTCGCAGATATAAAGGAGAAACTCTAATTTTTCTTCGAAAAAGATTCAGACATGTAGCTAGAGAACGAGAGAGCAGTCTCCAGAGGAACAATTTAATTTTTGGCTGATAAGCCAAATTCCATAATTCTTTCCACACCACCGGATTGATGATATGAGAAGAGTGAGCACTGCCTCCAGACAAATCAGAGCAAATAGCATGAATTTTGTGATACCCCGACTTAACAGAGTATTGGCCATTAGCACTCCAAGGCCACACTATACGGTCTGGGATACTAACATTTCCAATGGGAATGCTCCTAATTGCATCCATAGTTTCTCGATCAAGGACCATGCAAACATTTTGGAAATTCCATTGTCAGGAGTCTTTGTCCATAATATCTGCCACCAACTGGGGTAAATTCGCAGTGACAGAACTTGTAGGATGAATGACACTGCAATGAGGAGCAGGAAGCCATTTATCCGTCCAAATATTAGTATTTTCACCACTTCAGATCTGGACCCTAGCATGATTTAGCACCTCATACCTGCCTGTAATAAGACTTGCCCAAACCCAGGAGCCACGATGGCCCTTTTTAGCTTTCCAAAAATCCACTCCCTGGAAATAGCGTGCTTTAAGAACTTGAGCCCATAGGGCATTCGGGTTTTGGATTAGTCACCAGCACTGTTTTCCAAGTAAGGCAAGGTTGAAGTCCTGTAAGTCACGAAAACCTAATCCACCATTCATCTTACTCTTATACAAAGTGTGCCAAGATTTCCAATGCATACCGGAATCCTTTTCTTGATTTGCCCACCAAAATCTAGCAATATCAGTGTTGATTTCTTTGCACAAGCTAGCAGGGAATTTAAAACACATCATTGGATAGGCAGGAATTGCCATAGCCACATCTTTAATGAGGACATCTTTTCCGGCTAAATAGAGAGAGCTAGATTTCCAGCCTTGCACTTTCTTTCTCATTCTTTCTCTGATGTAACCAAGAGTCGATTTTTTTTATCTTCACCAAATAGATGGAAGACCTAGGTAAACCCATGGATTAACGACACATTTTATGCCAAAAACAGAACAAATGCCAGCTTGTCTATCCATGGGAGTATTAAAGCTGAAGAAAATACAAGATTTGTCAAAGTTGATCTCTTGCCCAGACGCATGGCAATAGTCTTTGTTGATGCTCTTTTTCGGAGAGGGTCAACTTAGAGAAAAGGAGGTTTGCCTTCAGTAGGGAAAGGGCCTAGACCTTCAATAAAGGCTAGCTTGCATAAGACAAAATAGGAGAAGCAGTCGTTAAGCTTCGGACACCGGTGTGGTGCCGGCCAAAGGCTCTCCGATGCTTAAGTCAGCTAAGCGGGGTAACTTTAGCAGAGTAATAGTAAAAGGTAAGAAAGTAGTTATCCTTTTTACTAGGGTACTGTTCCCTATTTATAGGGAAGTGAAAGTGGGAGGTTTGTGTAGATTTTCGATGTGGGACTTTATGCAAGTCGCTGTGGTGGCGACATGTGTCATGGAGATTAGGTTTAGCAATTGAGACCTTCAGCAGTCGGGAGTTTCGGCAGGTGCTTGGCACCTCGGAAGAGTGTCTTCCTTCGGCATGGGAGAATGCGTGTCTGCCTTGGTGCTAGTTGTTTTGAGGCTGGATATGCTCGGTTGATTATGGTGTAAACAGTAGTCCCCCAAGTTCGCGATCAAGAAGTGACTTCTGGGTTGGGAACTTATGAGCTCCTTGTGTAATCATGACCGAGCATTCCAGGTTCAGTGGGAGCCGTAGGGCAGCCTCTAGTGCCCCAAGTTGGCAAGCTAGAAGTTGCGTAACTTTTGAGAGGTATGTGAGCCTCTAGAACAATTGGTAGCTGGGTACCTGGGCATTCTACAAGGTCTTTTATGTTTGGCAAGGAGGCCGGGGGTTGGGTCCTTGGGCTTTGTGAGCTAAGCCTTGGTAAGGGAAGAAGTGGGTGAGTTTTTCCTTGCTTCAGTAGTCCATGCCGTTCGGCAGGGCTGATTTTTTATTATTATTATTTATTTATTTATTTATTTTTGGTGCCTTGGACCTCTTCTTGTTTCGTCCCAAAGTCTGCCATTCTGCAAGCATGCCCAGTTGGTGTATTGGCTTGACCCACGGGTGCATGTAGTGTGGGGGGGGGGGGGGGGGGGGGGGGGAGGGGGGGGGGCGGTTTGGGCGTTTAGCACTAGAACTGAGCTTCGGTAGAGTCCTAGTGGGCTTGTGACGCCATTGTTGGGCCTTTTGGCTTTCTGCACAGCCCTTGCTGTTCAGCAAGGGTGTCCAAAGTAATTTTGAATTGTTTGTGTTTGAAAGGTGAGGCTGAGGATAAGTTGGAGTCGAGCCTTGAAGCTTCTCGTGGGGCTCCTGCATTTGGTTTTGCTGAACCCTTGTCGAACGGCAAGGGTTATGTGAGATTTTGTTTTAAGGCGTCATGCGTGTCGGCAAGGGCAGACTTGGAAGCTTGTTCCCGTTTGGCAACAGTTGGGGAGCTCAGCTTGTGCGTGTAAGTGGTCCGGGCTGTTCGAGTGCTAAAGCTAGGAGCTAGCTTGGGCAGGGGCTACCTGTGACGATGAGCTGGGCATCGAGGTTGAGCTCGGGCAGGAGCTACCTGTGATGATGAGCTGGGCATCGAGGTTGATTAATGGAGAGCTAGGCCTAGGACTTGGCAAGGTAATAATTTCGTGACCCCTTGGTTGAGTCTACACGGGTCTTGCCGTTCGGCAAGGACCTTGATACATGTTTTGATGATTGTTGTTTGTGGTTGTGTAAATCTTGGCATTCCACTTGTGTCGGCAGCATTTGGAGTATTTTCAATCAAGGTATTGAGCTAGTATTTTAACAAGGTGTTGTTTTCGTGGCAGCTCAAGGATCGCTAGAGAGTAGAGGTCTCGGAGCTGGTTCGACAATGAGGAGTTTGACGCATTGGCAAGTCATCCCTTCTGTGGACACAAGGTGTCAATTTTCTTTCGAGCAACCCTTGCCATTCGGCAAGGGTTTTGAGATTTGTTGAGTTGGGGCTGTTACAATCCTTGGGCAATAGTCATTTATGATAGGACTGTGAGGCCTTGGAGCTGGTTTGGCAAGGAGGAGTTTGAAGAAGGCTCCAGCTCATTCGATTTTCAGGTTTTTTCAACCCATCAATTTTCCGGTTACCCATTTTCCTTCCACACAGCCCTTGCCATTCGGCAAGGGTGTGTTTGTTTTGGCAAGAGTGGTACTTGTGCACCTTCGATTTTGGCAGGAGAAGGCACTCGAGGTCTTAACCATCTTTTAGCCAAGTTGCCGATTGGCAGTGGAGCAAAGTCAATGTGGCTAGGCACGGGGGTGCCGAAGGCAACACAAAGCTAGCATGTTGCAAGGCAATGTGGCTAGGCACGAGAGTGCCGAAGATAACATAGTTTGCGTGTCGCAGAGCGATGTGGCTAGGCACGGGGGTGTCGAAAGCGTAAAGCTTGCATGTCGCAGGGCAATATGGCTAGGCACGATGGTGCCGAAGGTACAGAGCTTGTACGTCGCAAGGCGATATGGCTAGGCACGAAGGTGCCGAAGGTGACGTGGCAAGGCACGAAGGTGCCGAAGGCAACACAAAGCTTGCATGTCGCAAGGCGATGTGGCTAGGCACAAAGGTGCTGAAGGCGACACAAAGCTTGCATGTTGCAAGGCGATGTGGCTAGGCACGGGGGTGCCGAAGGCGACACAAAACTTGCATTGGATGGCGGCGGGATACCGAAGGCAACGCGCGCACCGAATGATGATAAGGTGCCGAAGGGCACGGAAAAAGGGGAGAACGACAAAAGCCTTTTGTGTCGATTCCCACAGACGGCACCAAACTATTGATGCTCTTTTTCGGAGAGGGTCAACTTAGAGAAAAGGAGGTTTGCCTTCAGCAGGAAAATGGTCTGGACCTTCAATAAAGGCTAGTCTGCAGAAGAAAAAATAGGAGAAGCAGTCGTTAAGCTTCGGACACCGGTGTGGTGCCGGGCGAAGGCTCTCCAATACTTAAGTCAGCTAAGCGGGGTAACTTTAGCAGAGTAATAGTAAAAGGTAAGAAAGTAGTTACCCTTTTTACTAGCGTACTGTTCCCTATTTATAGGAAAGTGAAAGTGGGAGGTTTGTGTAGATTTCCGATGTGGGACTTTGTGCAAGTCGCTGTTGTGGCGATACGTGTCATGAAGATTAGGTTTAGCAATTGAGACCTTCAGCAGTCGGGAGTTTTGACAGGTGCTTGGCACCTCGGAAGAGTGTATTCCTTCGGCATGGGAGAAGGCATGTCTGCCTTGATGCTAGTTGTTTTGAGGCTGGATATGCTCGGTTAATTATGGTGTAAACAGTCTTGAAATAGTTTCTTCAAATGAAAACAATTTGATCTCTCCACCCTGAAGAAAAATAGCGCGTCATCAGCAAAAAATAAATGAGATAGAGTCGGACCCCCACGGCCCAGTTTGATCCCTTCTATAACTCCATCATTGACAAGTTTCCTTAGATTCAGAGACAAGGCTTCACAAATGAGTAAGAACAGATACGGAGACAAAGTGTCTCCTTGTCTAAGGCCACGGGAAGGAGAGAAAGGAGTCCCAGGTTTGCCATTCAGTAGAACAGAGAACGAGACAGAGGAGATACATATCATCACTAGATTTATCCAAAAGTTACTGAAGCCCATTTTAACCATAACAGCTCTCAAAAAATCTCATTCGACTCTGTCATAAGCCTTGCTCATATCCATCTTTAAACTTGCTTTAAATTTGCTTCCTTTTCGTTTCAGCCTCAAGTAGTGGTAAACCTCATGAGCAACCACAATATTGTCTTGAATCTGTCTTCCATGAACAAAAGCATTCTGGGTATCGGAGATAATTGATGGAATGACCTGTTTTAGACGGTTGGCCAGCATCTTAGAAAGAATCTTATAAGAACTATTGCAGAGGCTAATGGGTCTGAATTCACAGTAGCCTTCACTTCTTGCTCCAGTCTAGTATAATGCAGTCTTCTCTGCATTATACGGAGTGCCATACAACCAAGTGAATCTTCCAAATATATGATTTGTATCAGATTTTACACGAGTATCAATCCAATTTTTGCTCCAATCTAGTATTTCCACTTCCACCCAAGATTTCCACCACAAACAAAGCCCACCAGCAGTCCCTACTGGATCAACAACAAAACTTTTATAAAATCCACACTGCCTCCTAATTTGATTCAATCTGTGTCTATTCATTTTTGTTTCCATAAGGAATAGAACAGAAGGGTTTTTGGAGTGAATCAACTCTTTTAAGTACAGAACTGTCCTGGGGTTCCCCAAACCTTGACAGTTCCAGACTAGTTGTATCATTGACTCCGTGTGGCTGTTGAAGGCCAGCCACCATGACCTTGGAACCTATTTCGCTCCTCAGTATTCAACTTGCTTAAACATCTTTCAGCTTCTTCCATCTCTTTGGAGGGGCTAACAACCACATCTCGCAGACTTGTTTCACTTGTGACACACATTTTGCGTTGGCAGACATTTCCTCCTCGCGTTCCACCTTTTCCTCCTTTATTTTTCTGAAGAGAAACATACCCTCCTCTGTTTGAGTACCGCAGAGATACACCAGGGCTAGAGCTCAAATTTACCTTGGCCTTTTTAGCTGAAGAATTAGGTCTTCCTTCACCCATGAGTTTCTTTTTTCCTTTTCGCACAACTTCCTGATAAACTTGGCCATCCTCAAGTGGCCCAGATTCCTCTGTATCAGCAACCACCTCAATAAAAGGCTTATTGACTAGGAGGGAGGGGTCAATATGGGTCTGGAAGTTGGGCTCCCCCTGGTTCTCTAAAAGAGCTACACACGTGCCTCTATTCAAAGCCCATGGAGGAATAGTATCTGGGTCACACCATCTTTGATTGAGAGAGAGTCCCCCAATAGCAAGACTAAGGGATCCGTTTCTGTACTGAGTACCAACACTTTCTAGGTCCCACCTACTTATTACTCTTGATTTTATCACTCCATTCATAGGATTAGCAGCAATGTCAGTCCCAGGAACCACAGCAGCAGACTGAGACGAGGCATAGGCCTGAGACATAGCAGGTGGCGCAGGAAGCATGAAGTCTGAAGCCTGTAAGAGCACTTCCACCAGTTAGCCTCTTGCCATGGTAAAGGGAGCCCTAGGGCAGCTACTATTCATGTGAATAGTGGCTGCCCTACCCCCCCCTTAGCAAAGTGTGTTTCCAACAGTTTAGGCTTGCCATGGCAAATACTATTCATTTTTTTGTTTTTTTCACTACTTTGTTTACTTAAACAATTAATTTGGATAATATTTTCGGATAAGATTTTTGGGTTCCTACATATGAAAAATCATTTTCTCAAGATTTTTAGCGGAGGTGCAATATTGACTAAGTATGAAAAATGGTTTTTTCGGAATAATCATTTTCTCAAGATAATTTTTGGCGGCTTTTATTCCTTACACATCAAATAAGAAAACTTGATTTTATGAGATTTTAATATGAAGTATATATTCACTTAATGAGCCATCATTTTAGCCTAAATCGTATTTTGCACTAAAACCGATTTTTCATATTTTGATTTGGTGGGAATTTGATTTTGTAGTATTTTTATTTGAATCCAAATGGGGGGTACTTCCTTATTTACATTGTAAACTTAAGTAAATGGAGTAATATTAAAATAAATAAAAGTAAAAGGACAAAGACATTTACTTAAATGTTGAAATGGAAATAAGGTATAGAAAAAAAAAAAAAAAAAAAAAAAAAAAATAATTTTTGGTATTTTTTTCAATTTTTTATTACAAAAATATTGGCTGCTGGTGTTAAAAGTGAAGAGTATTGGTTGGTATTTATAGAAAAAATTTTCAGTATTTTTTACATTTTTTTCGATTTTTTTATTGGGCAAAGGGAGCATTGCAGCGGGCACTATAGCGCGCTGATGTCAGATTGCCCCCGGGCTGGCGCTCGGGCCAGCCCAGGTAGCTGAGCCCCACTCCTTGCCCTGAAAGATCTTTGTTGCTGGAAACCCCATTTTGGGTTTGCCCCTCCCCCCCAACCCTCCCCTTGGGTCCTTTGCTGGAAATGCTCTAAGGAGTCCGGCGCAGTTAAAATGGAGCCTGTAGCGTGAAAGGGGTCAGAAGGGACAGTTGTCTCAATAGCTGGCTCATTGACTATGACAGGAACATAGTTTTGTCTGTTGCGCTCATCGTCGGAGAAACCGTATAGGCCACCGTTCTCTTGCTCCAGCATGTGTCTCCAATGGTTTTTATCAAAGACTCCGGTGTCTCCACTGTTTAGTTTTGGTTTGAAGAGGAAAGTAGACCTTTTGGATATAGACGGAGCCCGCAGACCTTCATCATACTTCCAGGCTTCCAGCCCTCCTCCTCCAGCCTAGGATTTGGTTTCAAGAGGCAACCCCTGGAATTCGTGACTATTTCTTTTACTCCATAAATGACAAATTTGTCTTCATGCATCCTTTGCATTTTGATGTATTCATTCACGTGATGTGATAAGTTACACAAATTTTTATGACTCGTATACTTTATTTTTGGAAATTTGGAAATTAGTAGGGCTGCACATTTAAACCGAAAACCCGAATCGGACCGATTCCATGCAAATTGCCTAAAAATTCAGACTATATGCACTCATGAGGAATCGAACTTTGGTCAGAGTTCACACACAAAGCCCAAATACCACTGGACTGATGTGCCTTCTTGTGCAATGTGTGTATAATTGTATTATTTATTACAATCTAAATATTTTAAAAAAAAATTAGGGTTTTCCCTGCCCCACACACTCTCCTTTTCTTTTTCTTTTCTCCCATCCCAGCCGACATCCCCTTCTTTCTTCTCTCTCTCTCTCTCTCTCTCTCTCTCTCTCTCTCTCCATCTTTTTTTTCTTTCCTCTTCCTCCCGCCACTGCATCTTCTTCTTCTTTATTATTATTATTTTTTTGGGTAAATAGTTGCATCTTCTTCGTCTCTCTCCATCTTCTTCTTCCTCGGCTTCTTCTTCCTCCCCATACACTCAACCACGAAAGTGGTCCTCAAGCTGCTGGCTGCATCTTCTTCTTCTTCTTTCTCTCTTCTCTCCATCTTCTTCTTCTTTTCTTCTTCTTCCTCCCCATACCCTAAACCAAGAAGTGGTCCTCAATCTCAGTTCAATCCGCTGCCATCGATGCTTGCCGAACCAAACCAAACCGCACCGACTTCTCGGCGTGCCGATTGTAGTCGGTCTTGCATCAACTCGGCAAGGCGGTGGTCCCCAAAATAGGTGCGCCGATGACCTCCGGTTCGGTGATCGGCAACTCCTCCAAGACACGGTTATCGAACCGTGAACAGCCCTAGAAATTAGTATGTTCTAAACTTGTCATAAGTGTCACATGTGTTGTGATCTTAGAAGAAAGAGTTTCATCAGAAATCTTGTTAGTGATATTTTTTCTTCTCTTATCACTTGGAAACCAAATAGTGGAAAAGTTATTTTATGTATAATGACAATTAGTTCTATTGAATTTAATTTTGATTATTAAATTACTTTGACGCTCTATTGAGTGTTTTTGGTTTTTATGAGGTTTTGGGATTGGGTTTGTTTTAAGAAATCGATGACAATTTTGTAATATGTAATAAATTAAAAGCCTCTTTGCTTTGTTGTAAATGAGATTTGAGTGTGTTTTTAAAGTCAATTTCATATAAGGATTTTTTATAATTTGAGCCCTTATATCAGGTATAATGGTGAATCTTCCTATTTTTTATCCTCACCAAAAATCGTTATGGCTTGCAATTCTGTATTAGCATTCTGGTTAAATTTTTTTGCTAATCAATTTAGTTTTCTTATGTATATTTGAGCTTCTAATCTTGCTTTAGATATATTGTAACGTATCATATTAAGTGTATAGGTATAAATGGTTGACCATAATATTCTCTTTTGAATATAGGTGGCTGCTGGAAAATGCTTTAATGAGTTCAACGTGCCTCGTGAGTCATGACTCTCACTGCTCATGTCGGCTCTATGTTGACTTTTATGTCAACAATCGCAAAGACCCCTTGGTTCAGAGACAGAACCAGAACAATCTCTACCTCCTCCGAACCAACCCATTTCCTTACGCATCCACTTCATCATCGTCTTCCCCAAAGGACTACTGGTTGCTGAAACTCGAAGAGGACTTTCTTCCAGAAGCACTTGAACTTTGTGAATTATAACATGGTGGAGCTGCGGGTTGGAGTTCTCTGTAATGTTGCTTGTAACGAACAATGTGACTTGATTTGATGAGGTATGACAAGCTCATATTTATATATATTTTACATCAAATTCACTGTCTTTTCTTAGTTAGTTCCTTATATTTTTGAACTATTTACTTTGTTTTTGTGTTTTGTAGGATCTGTCAAGCAAAGAAAAAAAAATAGCACAAGTGGGATTTTAAGTCACAAATTCGTCAAAACTGCCTGTGCAGATGAGCTGACTTTGGAAGCAAGTTGCGAACAGCCAGAATGAATTAGAGAACTTGCCATATATGCTTGGAAAGCTACAGATGTCTATTCTCTGGAGCACTTCGTGGATTATTCATATCATTTTTCTAGAAGCAGTAATGGCCGTTTTAACACTGAAAGATTCACAAGAGGCTGAGCAGTTTGTAACTGCAATGAAAGCAATAAACCCAATAAACCTAACAGCCAAAACGGATGCAGCCAAGAACAAGCCAGCGGAGACCTATTCAAATATCTGAGGAAATGGAATTAAAGATGGGGATTAGGTGGGAGTAATTGGCTTAAAGGCCACCCAAAGAGTTACAATTGTTTTACCATTTTCTCTCACTTATTGTCATCAATAAATAGCTATTAGTGGGGGAAGTTTGGGGGGAGAGTGATCTTTGGAGAAAGAAACAGAGAGGCAAGGCAGGAACGTTGGAGGGAGGAGGAAATCTTGGCATTCTCTTCTTTCGGTTTTACCTTCCCAAACTCATGTCTTTCTTTTGGTTTAATTTAAGAATAATGTGTAACTAAATTTTTAGTAGTTAGGGGCTGTTTTGAAGCCCCAGGTATGATTGCAAATGTGTTATGAAATTTCGTTTCAATTTCTTTCATGAAAGGATGAAAATTGCTTCACTACTTGTCTTGTTGATGAATTCTTTATGTGTTTTCTACGGATGCATACTTAGTAAGCATATTTAGGATTCTAATGCTATGAATATGTGTATGCCTGCCCTTGTTGAATGAGGACCTACATATGTTCTAGAGTAGTACTTGTTAGTTGCGATGAACATGTGAATTAATTTCTAGGATAAGTAGACAACGCCAGTACTTACGATGCCTTGTGATGACTCAAACTCTTTTTGTTCTTAATTATTTCTACTTGTTAAATCTATGAACACGCCATTCTATATTGCATGCTAGGGACTAAGTTAAGTTGAAAACGTCATTCTCTTAACATACTATACAAGAAAGAGTAATAGGTTGAGTTCTAACATTGAGCCAACTTGAGCACCTTCATCCGGAAATAAAAGGAATCTGATTGAATCATAACATGTTTGCATGACTATTTGGTGGTGGATAGCACTTCCCCTAACTCATTTTCTTAAGTGTGAAATTTAATCTGTTCTTATAATTCAAAATCCGTTTCTGTCCTGTTGTTGTCCGATTTAATTTATATAGCAAATCAACTCAAAAAATCCCAAAAATTTGTGTGAGTGTAGCTCTGCGTGTCTAGTATCTGTGCATAAAATTTTGTAGACTTTCGATAAGTGTAAGTAGGGATAATAATTAGTTTTTCAGTGGCTGGTCAGTAGGGACAGCAGCCCAGTTTTCGTGACATTTCAAGTAGTTAGATAAGACAATCTTCTGCGGGAAAGACCCTTATTTTCATATGCTACAATTGACAAATCTTAGTGTTAATAAGGAAAATCAATAGGATATTTGTGTGCTATTTTGTGGTGTGCTTTCAATCCTATCAAGGTATGAGGAAAAATCATTTGCAGTTTTTTGTAGTTTGATTAATTCACCTTAAAACAAGTGTACTGAAGATTGTGATAAGAACAAGCCAAATTTTATTGAGGTACCAATAAAATTTTCTTTCTGCTTTTATTATATCTAAACAATTGAAACAAAAAATTTCTCTAACCGCACAGACCTTAAGCCTCCCCCTTATATTAAATGGAGTTGGTTTCACTCATGCCTAACTAATTATGGATTAGGGCTGTGCTTCTCCATTGGAACCCAACATTCGTCTGAGTACACTAGCAAACCCAGTCATGGTTCAACCCAAAACAAAACGAAAAGTTAGTACTGCAGCCATCCAAACTGTGCCGCCACCGCTGTATTCAAATAATAATTTACTATGATCAAGCGTACGTTTTTACTTTCAAGCACTTAGTGTAGTCAAGTTCTTCAATTCCTAGTATTTTATTATTTGAATTCAAGTTTATTTAGTTTAAACTTACAGTTCTTAAAATAAAGATTTTAGTCAAGTTTTCCTGCAAGAAAGTTTTAATTAGTCAATTGATTTTAAGACCATTCATATTATTCACAATTGTCTATCATAAAATATTAATTAGAAACATTTAATTATTTAGGATTAGTAATGACCCACTCCCTCAAGTTTCCATTGCAGTAACAGACTAAAAGAAATTAGGATTAATGAGCAAGAAGGGTTAAGAAAAAGCACAGATTTTATGTACAAACAATCATGGAAAAGCTATATACACACACACACACACACACACTAATTATTAAATATTATTTTAGGCAAGTTAAATTCATTCTAAACTAAATATTATGCAGCAATTAAGCAAGGGGAAAGCCCAATCTCTCTACTTGGTACAAAAAAGCAATTGATAAGAAAGATGTTATAACTAAGATAAGCCAATCCCATCTCCTTCTCCTCCTAGCTAAGTGGCTAAAATTCCCATTAGGGTTTCTCCTTTTAAAATGTCCTCACCTTCTTCCCATGTGCTGATCCTGCATTCACTGGTTTGCTCGTCAGATAAATACTCGCAAGAGACCGGTATCTTCGCTTCTTGGGCCGATCAACATCTTCTTCTTTCCCAAAAATCTCTTCAATCTTTGCCCAAATGATCACATTGATCAACGGCCTCTGATCAACCTCCTCACCCTCGTGCTTAGTGTTCTTGTTGCTCCTGCTGCTGCTGCTGCTGCTGCTGTTATTGTTGTTATCTTCGTCGCTAAGCTGCATCAGCTGCTGCGCCGCGGCCAACTCCGACTCGGTCATGGCCTTATCGGGACGATCAGTTTTTCGAGACGATTTTTCCATTGAAGAGAATTGGTTTGAAAAAATAGACATAGAAAGAGAAATGGGGGGTTTTCTCTTTCTCCTGTGGTTATATTGGGATTTTTATTGGTTGGTTGTATGGGTTTGGCGTAGAGCGTGTTTTGCGGGTACGTGTTGTATGAGTTTTGAAGGAAGGGAGAGAGAGGGAAGCAAGAAACTGCAGCGTTGGTCCTATGGAGGTGGGTGGAAGATGTGATTTCGCTTACGTGGATTTTATTTATATTTTATATGTTTTTATATTGTTATAGTGTATAGCCTCTCATCAATCTTATAAGTGCACATCTCATTTAACGCGGTTGGATTTAGGTTTCAACAACACATTGACTTGCTTTCTTGACCAATCATGGAGTAATCAAATCAAATCGTTCGTTTCCTTGTTTCTTTTTTCTTTTTCTTTTTCTTTTTTTGGTTGCTTTGATTAAGTTAGTCAACATAGACTAAAAACAGGTAAACAAGGAGACTGCAGAGAGGGGTGTTGTTGTCCTGGTCCACCATAGGAATTGTTTCACATCCCATAATAAGCCGCTTTCCAGATGGAATTGATGAAAGGTTGAATTGAACGCCACCAAATTGACTAAGGTCCTTCAATCTCTCATAAATGTTAAGTTTAATGTAAGTGATGGTAAGGTTAGTTGAGATATGAACTTAAACCAATACAAGTCTATAGGTTAATGATTATTTAGTCATACATCATTTAGTTTTCACATTATTATGGACGATTTGTTGCACTGTTCAATTGTTGAATATATACATATATGTAGATAGAAATTCTCTGTGCAGAACGTATGTTGTTGAACTTTTCAAGAAGGAACTGAGTCAATGTTGTAACAAATAGTGCCGCGAATCGGAATTATAACCAGACAGTTATGGTCAATGAAAATGCAAGGCCAATTTTGTAACTTTCGAAGAAATTATTTATAATAAAAAAAACCCTAAAAACTCTCTCTCTCTCTCTCTCTCTCTCTCTCTCTCTCTCTCTCTCTCTGCATGACTCGCCTCCCCAGCTGCCGCACACGATAGGGAAAGGCCACGAAGTCATGGTGTCACACAACCCAACCTCACAGTCCAGCCACATTCCGATTGATTTTCCGGCCGATACAAGTCTCCGTTGTTGATGGCCCTTTCTTTAGTTTTGTTCATCTCTCAACAAGGAACAACTTCCTAGTTACAACACCTTCACCATAGCCTCCCAGCATCCAGTGTAGGGCTCGAAAGATAATCAGTTTTCTAAATTTTCTAACACCATGTCCGACGATTCTGGTGACGATTTCTGTCGATCCAGGTCTTATCCTCTCATAGTGCTCTACATGTTAACGTAGGTGCATTTTATCAATTTTGAGGTTTTAGGAATTGATTTGAACATCCACGGCCACATTGGGTCATTGCGTGGCAAATTGGAGTTTTGCCTAATATGGACAACAATGTGCTTGGATTTGGGAAATCCAATCATTTGATCAACGATTGGAGTTTCAGCTAATATGGATCATTTAATCAAGAACAATAGGACCATTTGATCAATCCCATTTCGAAATATGTCGCTCCTCGTGTCACCAGAAGTGTGTAGGATTGTATGATCTTCCAAATCGACGATTCTAGGGTTTAGTTAGTCAATCACCGTCCGATTGTGCAAGCTACGTTAATCCATCCATTCGTGAACAAATTTCTAAGGTGTGTTCAGTGGATCATAGTTGACCCTTGACCCATAGGAACCTTCATATCATAATTCTGAGTTTGTGGGCTCGACATGCTCCATTGACTTGGATGGTGTGCCCCACCATCTCGGTTGATCGGATGTCTTCCGAGGCCGCCTTGGACTTTGAGAACACTTGAGATGATCTTCGGATGTCATCGTTTAGGTTTCACACACACTTAGGGTTCCGGGAAACTAGGGTTTCGTTTTAATGTTTCAGTTCCATAATTGTTGAATCTAACATCTCTATCTATTGGATTAGTTGGTCACGCTCCATGTACTTCTCAAGACGGACCCACTCAAAATTGAGTTAGCTTCAGAGACCTTTTGTGAGTGGACTTTGTTTTCTAAATGATTTTGACGAGTTGAGTTGCTTATAAATATTTACCTTGCGTGATTTGAGTTATTTCGTTGGTTTAAATAAGCTTTCAATTGATTCTTGCATAGTAGTGTTTTTATGCTATTGCTTAACTTAGATGGTTAAATGCTTTGAGACACCCATTGATTCAAAACTTCTAGTCGATAGAACTATGAATTCCTGGTTTATAGAAATAAAGGAACGAGAGGAATTTTAAGACAATTAGATAAACAAAAGGAAAAAGCTAAGGAACTGCTTTGAGTTCTGCTTATCTATTACATTCAATAACTTACGTATTTATACAAGTTTTGAGTTCCAAAAATAACTAAAGTAAAAGAGTAAATGAAGTTAAACCATAAAAGTTATGTGGTTTAAAAGCTCCTAGTTACTTAAGCCATGAAAATGTGGTGGCTTAAGGTCAATTCTCTTTTAAGCCACAAATTATTCATGGATTAAATAATATAATTTATTTATATCAATTATATTATATCATATTTATTATAATATTGAATTGTTGTAGGTAAGACATCCATTTATATGGCGAGCTTACTACAACTTAGACTGTGTAGTTAAAAACTGAAGAGGTTTATGATCTAAGTGAACTATAACTTCTTTTCCCAACAAGTAAGCTTTCCAATGCTTCACTACTCGATGCATTGCATACAACTTCTGTCATAAGTCAGATAGTTCAATACTGGTCCACTAAACATCTCAGAATGATATGCAATTGGTTTCCCATCCTGAAATAATACGGCTCTCATGGCATAGTTCGATGCATCTGCTTCCAATTCAAATGGTTTCTGCATATTCGGTAATGCTAGTACTGGGGCCTCTATAATCTTTTGTTTCAACAACTGAAAAGATTCTTCATAGTTTCTTGATCATTCAAACTTTTGATTGGCCTTTGTAAGAGAATGTAAGGGTGCTGCAATTTGTGAAAAGTGCCGAATAAACTTTCGCAAATATTGACATGCACCTATAAAGCTCCGAACTTCAGTTACTGAACTGGGCGTAGGCCATTGAGAAATCACATGTACTTTCTCTATATCCATTTTCAGTTCTCCTGCACCAAGAATGAATCCCATGTATACAAGGTGTTGTTTCCCAAATTCACACTTCTTACTATTTAACTGTAATTGATTTGTTCATAGAACCTCCAAAACTTGAGCAATATGATGAAGATGGTCTTCCCATGTGACACTAAATATGAGAATATCATCTAAGTATACAATGACAAAGTCGTCAATGAAAGGGCAGAGTACCTCATTCATTAATCGCATGAATGTGGCTGGAGCATTACATAACCCGAATGGCATGACTAACCACTCGAAGAGTCCCTGCTTTATCTTAAAAGTAGTCTTCCAAGTGTCTTCTTCATGGATGCTCCTTGGCAATGGATATCGATTCTTAATGGTTATTTTGTTGAGTGTCCTATAATCAACACACATACGCCAGCCTCTGTCTTTCTTAGGCACAAGTAACACTGGCGAACCACATGGTGAGCAGCTAGTTTTCATGACTCCTTGTTCAAGAAGTCCCTAAATTTGCTTCTTGATCTCATCAGATTCAGTCAAAGAAGTACGATACAAACCCAAGTTTGGTAAAGGTGAATCTCCTACCAACTAGATATCATGCTCCACAGCTCTCCTCGGTGGCAAACCATACACATCCTAAAATAAGTCCTTGAACTTCTCTTGCAATTTCCCTATGTTTGAGCATTACGTAGGAGATAAAGACAAAATAGACAATGTCACAGCTCCGGAACTCTGATCTTGTTGTCGAATCATCAACAAAACGAATCACCCAAATGAATTGACTAACCTCTTGGCTTGGTTAGCTGTCAGCAAATTATTTATAGCTTGAAGCTTGCAAGCACTGATGTGAAACTCCTTCCCATCCTTCACAAGTTGATACTTGCGAAGCTTCGATAATGAATGGCATCTCAATCCCATAAATATGGACTTCCTAATTTGACTTGACAAACATCCAAATGAACCACCTCACATGTCACCTCATCGATATATCGATTGGTGATAGCAAATTTGAAGGTACATTGCTTTGTGATCTATAAGTCAACGTCCTTCTGAATCCATCCTAACGGGTATGGCTTAGAATGTAATGTGGTGTCTAAACCCACTTTTCTTACTAAAGTCTTTGAAATCAGGTTTTTCTGACTTCTAAGGTCAATGATAGCTTGTACAACACTTTACTTCACCTGAATATTCACATGAAACAACTTTTCACTGTTATACGTGTCTTCAGTATCTGTTGGTCTTGTCATAAGGGTAAGTGTAACATCAGGTTGCTTCAACTTTGGAAGCTCTTCTGCCTGTTGTGCAGTTAAGGTGGCTTTTTTGTCATTTCTCCCTTAGTTTTTTTTCGCACTTTGGCCGCAACTCAAGATTGAGTATCCAACACTTGTCTTTGGCATGTTTGCTGGTTTGACAGTGATCACAGTAGATTTATTGTGTCTGGCCTTCCTAGCTCTGCTTTCCCTTTTTCTGCTAGTCAGTTTTGTTGACAGGTTTTAATTTGTCACCCTTCTTGTCAGTTCTTTTATTTTTCCCCTCAATGGCAATGGCCTTCACAGTAGCTTCATCAAAAGTTTCTATGGTGAACAATTTTAGTTCTTTCTATATGTAGTCGGCAAGACCTCCGGTATACTTCATGAAAACATCGTAGTTGTCACCTTCGATGTCCATAACCATAACTTAGTTATGGAACTCTGTTGTATACTCTTGTATAGGCCGCCCAAATCCTTGTCTGAAGTGTTGTCACTTATACCATCTTTCATCTTCACAACCAATTGGATAAAATTATTTTCTCAAAAGCATCTTGAAGTTCTTCCAAGTCAATTATGAGACATCATATCGTCTCCAATAGGACTTCCACCATGTAAGGGCATGGCTTGAAAGTTTCAAACTCGCAAATTTTATCTTTTGCGCATTAGAATACTTATAAACGGTGAAATAAGTTTCTAATGTGTCTATCCAGTTATCTAACATTTCATTATCAACATCTCCTTTATATATAGGGATATCAACCTTAAAATCAATTTTTAAGGTATCAAGAAAATTTTTGTTGTCACTTGATTCAGCTTCCTTTTTTGTTGGATCAACTTGTGTGTCGTCTTCATCTTTGCTATCCTCAACAACCTTTTCTTGAATTTTTGATTAGGCTCATATGAAGTTGATGGACGCTAAGGTTTTCCAATCTTCAAACTCTCCACGAGTTTAAGGATTGACGGGGACAAGTTTTCAACTTGTTGCTCAAGCTTAATGATGCGATCACCATTACTAAATGTATCATGTTTGTTTTCTCCAGGCATAATGTCTCTCTTGGACATTGACTTTTGGTGTACGAGCAAATGACCTAAAAGTTCTTCTCCAGAAGCTTTGCGTTGGTTGCAAGTTCAGACCATAAACCACCGTCACCCTCTCAGATATGGTGCTCTAATACCACTTGATCCAAAACTTCTAGTCGATAGAACTATGAATTCCTAGTTTATAGGAATAAGAGAACGAGATGAATTTTAAGACAATTAGAGAAACAAAAGGAAGAAGCAAAGGAACTGCTTTGAGTTCTATTTATCTATTACATTCAATAACTTACATATTTATACAAGTTTTGGCTTCCAAAAATAACTAAAGTAAAAGAGTAGATGAAGTTAAACCATAAAATTATGTGGTTTAAAAGCTCCTTCGTACTTAAGCCATGAAAAGGTGGTGGCTTAAGAACAATTCTCTTTTAAGCCACAAATTATTCGTGGATTAAATAATATAATTGATTTATATCAATATATTATATTATATTTATTATAAGATCCTCCTGGATCACCCATGATCCATTGCTAATCCTTATAAGTTTATTATATGGTTAAATATATATATATATATATATATATACTTGAGTTGAGTTTTTCGAAAGTATTCTTGATTGTTATGATTTCTAGATTTCATTATGACCACATGTCTATACATATAAATATATATATATATATATTTATTTATTTATAATTTTCTTCTGTGGAGACGCTCATATGTTATTATTGTGCAGACGCCATGTATTTTCTACTACCCATCTCTGTTTACAAGTGTGTCCTTAATTGAGAAACACCCTTGTAGAGCCCACCACACATTGTATTTCAATTATTTGAACCGTCTAGGTCTTTGTTCACCCATTTTGTGATCACTCCTGTGGTGGAAGGGCAAAGTTCCCCACTGCCTTGTGAACCATTGACTGGTCAGCAAGTCAACTTTCTTTGGTGTAAGAGCGTGCCACTGCTAGCAATGAAGATTCTAGCAGAATTATTCTAGAATAGATAACTTGCTCCCCACGTTACTGATTTCCATAAACAAGCGATTGTGAATTTGGGTGAGGAATATCTCCCAAGTAAGTTCTTTTCTTGCCTCAAACTGGTGAGGACTTTAACAATTTATCTCAATATAAAGAGGTTGTTCTGGCCAGAATGGTTGATGGAATTTAAGCTGTCTTAGGCAGAACTGCCTTTTACAAAATTATAAACATAAATATCCAAGCTAAAAAGAAGAAAGGACAGTTGGAACTCCATTTCTGCCTGGATAGGAGGTTCTGATCCGGGCTGGACTGGAAATATCTGGGCTGGACTGGACTGTTAACAACTTCACCTGCTAAGCTTCAGCTGTAGATCGATACCAAAGGTTAATTTTGGCAGAGCTTTAATACACTTCAAGTTTTTGTGAGGCTTCTGAGTGGGCAGAACTGCGGCTTCTTCAGTCTGTAAGGGCAGAAGTGGCTGTTCTCGAGGACTTCAGTGGGCTAGAGACTGCACTGTAAAATTTGTTGAGGTTTTCATGTTTGGGAAAAGCTCAAGCTCTACCTGTCTTGGTTTTTTGCTGAACCAAATTTGTAATGAGAGAAATCTAGTTTTGAATGACTTATTTTCTAAGTCTGAACCTTGGGAATTCTGATCTAAAGTTGGTTTTCACTTGGAATTCAAGTGAGCTTCTGGTTAATTTTGAGTTGTTTATTTGAATGATCACTTGAGTGTTGGATTGATTGTCCTTTGCCCTGTTTACTCCTTCTTGTATTTATAAGAGATGTTATCTGGAGTAGGGTAATTCTTTTAAATAATGGACGGCAATTTTCTTTAAAAAGATCTTTCATTTTTAATTATAAAGAAAGGAGGTTTTGATCAATTTCTGGTAGATAAGCTCTCAAGACGTTTTTGAGATCACTTCCCTATATTTTTCAAACTGTGATGGTTAGTTTGATCTTCCATTTGAACAACTCCCTGTCCTCCTGCTTATCTCCTTTTGAGAACATGGTCTGCTTATCTCTTGGGAGAATCACCCTCTTTGGAGAAAAATATTATTTCCAAATATGTAAAAAAGGATCTGATCTTCTGATGGCAGAGATTCAAAGAAGTCTTCTCCTAGCCGTCTGCTTTTGTTAATCCCAGTTGAAAATATTGACTTTTCTAAGTCAGAAACATCACGTGGGTCTGTTCCTGTTTTGGTTTTCTTTCTTTTAATAATGGCAAACCCAAATTCGAGTTGAACCATGAACTGGTTCCTTTCTTTTCTCTATTTCTCTGAGGCCCAGGTTTTGCGTTCTTAGATACCTCCTGAGTTGGGCTTCTTTTAGATTTGGGCCCTTGATTATAATTTGGGTCCTGAACTGTCTGGGTTTGTTTTTGTCTCATCCTTCTGGGCCTCCAATGCTGGGCTGAGTGTGTGTTTTCGCCCAATTTCCGGGAATGCAGGTGGCTGTCCAAAAATTGTCATGGGCTTTTGTTTTCCTTGGGCTCTGTGTTAAATTAGGCCCAAACAATGCCCCCTAAGTCTGAATCGTTTTTCAACGGTTTCAGACTTAATGACTTGGGGCATTAATTTGTGCATGCCAGTTTCTTTTCATTAACCCACGTCTGCCACGTCTTCCTACTGAGCTATAGTTCATGGGAAACTGGGTAGTTATTAGCTCATTACTAGCTAGTCATCATCAGGTGTCGTATCATCTTCTCCTTCCCTGGTTTTCGAACTTTTAAAAGAAATCAAACTCAAAGCTTCTGTTCATTTCGAAAACCTAGCTCTCAGACCTTGATTTTCTTAGTGTTTCAGAATTTTCACTCTTTTTTTCGAGTCGACTCTGCCTTTCTTACCACCTCCTTTGTTCCTAGCTCAAAACTTCTGATCATGTCTTCTCCCAAGACTCGTGCCCAGGATTCGTCCACCTCAGTTCCTCCTGATTACATCACTGGGGCTGGGGTTGACAACCATGCCATAGAGGTCAGAAGCAAGCTCCATCCTTTTGCCCAAAAGAACCTGGATGAGAATGTCCTTCACCTGTTCAAGAATACTCTGGTTTTGGGTCCACACTGGTTTGGCCCAGTTCCGACTGAGATGGCAAAATTGATGAAAAAGGATGTTGAAGCTCCTTTATGTTTTGAGAGCACTTCTGCCTTGGCCTCTCATTCTTGGGTCAGCAAGAATCTGAGCCGTTCATTCCCATCCAGTAAAGTGAGAAACAGTTCAGTGAAATGGGTAGACTGGATTGACAGACTCCTTCCAAGATATGGAGCTCACTGGAATACTTCTGTCCAAGCATTCCATCAATAGAGATGAGAACCTCCTGGCTGCTACTCTATGTTTCTGAAATTCTGCCAGTAACACATTTGACTTCCGTGTGGGCCCCATGGCTCCAACTCTGCTAGATATGGCGCAAATCTTTGGGTTCAGGCCCCATGGAAGACCTGTGGATGCAGTAGGAGATTACCATAGAAGAAAGAACCAGGAGAGACTAGCTAAGCCTTTCACTATCTCTCCAGCTCTTATCAACCAGAACTGCTCCTTCTCCAACTACCTGAGGAAGTTCAGTGCTGAGAAGGACAAGGACCAGCAACACATGTTATTCCTTCTGTACTGGCTGAATATGTTCATTCTCCCCAATCGGTCTTCAGCAATTCTGCTTGAATACAAACATTTGGCAGAAGCATTGCACAACCATACGGATGTAGGGCTTGGCCCTACAGTTCTGGCCCATCTTTTCAAGAATCTGCATACTACTACTTTGGAGAATCCTCTGAACCTATCTGCTCCCGGCGCATTCTGGATGATCCAGATTTGGCTACAGGTTTATTTCACGGAACTGAGGTTTCCGGACATCGTTCTGCCTGAAGATCAGGTCATGGCAGCTCCCTTGATGTCAGCAGAGGTGCCAAAGCGATCGATCGAGGAGTATCTGATGTTTTTCATGCACTGTACTAAAAGGTCTGCAGCTCAGTGGCAGGTGGTGATTAGAAGAACATATCCCAAGTTCCAGGCTGGATACAGACTATTTGAGAAGGAGCCAGAAGAGGAGGCAGCCAGAACAGACTTTAGGAAGAAATTCCTAAGTGTCACTTTGCCGAGAGATCTGCCTCATGGAGGAGGAAAGCCTCCAAATTATCATTGGGGGCAGAAGTCTACCATCCCAACTTCTGTGCAAGGCAACTTGGCTGCCCTCAGCTCATTCCACTCAAATCTTATAGAAGTTGCAATCGGGGCAATTCTTGGAGAGATGCAAATGACCTAGAGGTGCACAAGGATGCTAGATGTGCAGTGAACAAGATAAACAATAGTGCAAATGCCCTCTATCCCTCATGGGAACCGAATTCCTTTAGTTTTGCCGAGTTCGATGCCTGGTGGAAAGCCAGGTTCCATGATCTATCTGCTTCAAGCACTGCACTTGAGGTGCTTTTTAAGGGCTGGGATGGATGGACTGTCCACACAGGAGAGGAGACTCACAAATTTATGGTGCAGACCATCAAGGACATCAATGCTCAAGTTATAGAAGGTAGTGTCTTACTGCTGTCTGTTCTGTCTGTCCTTTTTGTAGTGATGATGTTTTAACACTTTGTTCTGTCTGCAACAGATCCCTCCTTGACACAGAACATTGGTGGACAGTCTGTCCAGGTCGGAGAAGTAATTGGTAATTTTACTATCCTTTTGTTTCTTCCGCTTTTTGTCTTTCTCTTGATTGACCTTCTGACCCGTTTGCTTCCTGTGCAGTCACTTCTGTTATTGCAGCCGGAGATCTGGAGCTGCCTTCTGGAGAAGGAGAAGAAGAAGAAGAAGAAGAAGATCGGGCAGAACAAACGGCTGTTCAGGCCACTCCTTCTTCTGCCAGAAGAAAAAGAAGGGAAACTGCTCAGCCTGCGACTTCAGGTGAATTTTGACAGTTTGAGTTTTTCATAATTCTATTATGTCATGTTCTGCCTGTTTTAGCTTATGTTCTAATGGCCTATCTTTTGTCTACTGCAGCTAGGAGTCGCTCTCCTCCTCATACTAAACGACTTAGAAAGAGGACTGTAGAGGAATATGTGGCCCCGGAGGCAATTGCAGCAGTTCCCACCACAACTTCTGGCACAGATGAAGAGCTGAGATAGGCTTTTGAAGCTGTGGAGCAGGAGAAAGAGTTAGAGGCTCTAGAAGAGGTTGGAGAGAGACCTCAAGAAGAAACAAAGACAGCATAAGAAGAAGTGAGTTTCTGATCAACAGATCTGTTTCTGTCTTTTATTCTTTCCATTTTCTAACTTTTGTCCGCATGTCTGTCTGTCTGCAGGAAGAAATTCCTGCTAAAGTGATTGCAGAGAGCATCACTTTGGCTCAGAAGCAGCAAGAGAAGACAAGGGCAGAGCTGACTAGCTTAGAGCTGGCCCTGTTTGAGGATCTAGAGGCAGAACACTCTACTACTGCCCCAGCAGCTGAGGAGCAAGCAGAGCAATCTGCATCCGAGCCTGTGGAGCATGTAGAACTACCTGTTTTAGTTCTAGAAGCTGTAGTGGAAATGGCTGCAGCTGCTCCTGAAGTGGTGGTAATTTTCTTCCAATTTTGGTCATATTTTCTGCAATTCTGTTCTACTTCTACTCCTTTAACTGTTTTAGTCTTTTTTGGTAGAAGTGCCCAGATCGGCTGGTGTTCTGGCAATGGTGACCAGTCCCTTGAATCCTCCAATCGTTGCTGTAAGTATTGTTGTAATTCTGAGCTCCTTTCTTATGCTTCTGCCTGAGTCTGACTTATGCTTTCTTGTGCAGATGCCTATTCATTCTCTTACAGGTTCTTCTAACACGGCCCTCCTTTGCTGATCCAGAACTGGCAGAGTTTGAAGCCATGGACCTGGATGCCCAGCTGGACAAGCTGGAGAAGCTTAGTTCTACTCCTAGCAAAGCAAAATCTAAGGCAGTGGAGGAAGTTATGGAGAGGCTGAAGATATGGCAGTCCACTGAGCTGAAGCTGGATGATGATAGGGAAGCCATTGACCAGCTGATGAAAGACCTGGACCTGCTGCACAGACAGAACATATCTCCCAAGCCCATACTTGAGATGAGCCTTGGCATGGCAAGAGATGTGCTTAACCTCCACGATCAATATGAGGATCTCAAGCCTACCTTCAAGACCTCTGAGTTCTGCAATGCTACTCACGAAGCCAACCTGGCTGATTTTGCAAAGCAGAAGGCAGAACTAGAACAAATGGTGTCGAGATACAAGGAGGCCAAGGCCACTGCAGACAGCTAGGGAAGCAGATTGAAGAGCTTCAAAAGCAACTAGCAGAGTGTAGGGAGGTGCAGAACAAGCTTGGGGCTGGACTGAGCTCCAAGACTAAGGCCACCTTCCTTGTGCAGAGCATGGTTGCAGCTTCTAGGCCAGCCCTAGAGATTGCAGAGGCTTTAATTCATCAGGGGGTGCTGCGTCAAAAAGAACTTTCCATTAAGAAAACCAACTTGCAAGAAACCCTCAAGAAATTAGGGTTTTGATTTTGTTATTTATTTATCCTTTCAGTTTTTGCTTTATAATGAACAATTTGCCACGGGAAGACCCCATGGTTATCTATTTTAAATAAAGTTTATTTTTCTTGCTGCAATTTTCGGGTTTTTAATTTTCTTTTGATGAATAAACAGAAGTAAAAAGTACAAAAGGAACAAACTTTAAACAACTTTAGAACAAAGGTAAAACTTCTTTAGTGTTGTCCCTTCTCTATCCCAGGATCTGTTTATACAGCCTGTGAATCCCACATGGTTGGATAAAACTTCTTTAACCATTTGCCATTTATTGGGGCAGCATGAATTTCTCCATCTCTATCCTGCAACTTGTATGCCCCCATTCCAAGGATCTAATTAATTATGAAAGGGCCTTCCCATGTAGGTGACCACTTTCCATAACTAACTACATGTGTTCCAAGGGCAGAACTGCTTTCCAGACTATCTCTCCCTCTTCAAAACTCTTGTTCTTGACTCTTTTGTTATAGGCCCTTGACACAGCTTGCTTTCCTGCCAGGAGTTTATTAAGGGTGTCAATTCTGCTTGCATCCAATCCTTCCAGTTCTAGCAGCATGGCTTGAGAGTAGTTTTCTCCTACCAGATTATGTTGGTGAGCAATTCTGAGGGCTGAACAGCTATCTCCATAGGCAGAATTGCATCATGTCCATATGTTAAAGTGTAAGGGTCATGCCAGTTGCTTCTCTCTTTGAAGTTCTATATGCCCACAGAGTTTCTGACAACTTCTCATGCCATTACTTTGGATTCTTCTCAAGCATTTTTCGGATAATGTTGATGATTACCTTATTGTTTGATTCTGCCTGCCCGTTAGCTTGAGCATAATAAGGAGTGGATTGAAGCAGCCTGAATTTGAATGCCTCTGCCATATCCAGCATTTCTCCAGATATGAAAGAAGATCCTCTGTCAGTTGTGATTGATTCTGGGATGCCAAATCTCTGTATAATCTGTTCTTCCATGAAAGTGATGATCTCTTTAGATGTAGTGGATTTAATAGGCTTGGCTTCTACCCACCTAGTGAAATAGTCTGTGGCAACAATGATAAACAGTGCTGCTGGCTGCTGGCTGCTGGCTGGATAGATCTTGCCAATGAGGTCCATTGCCCATCCTCTAAAGGGGGGGGGGGGGGGGGGGGGGGGGGGGGGGGGGGGGGGGGGGGGGGGGGGGGGGGGGGGGGGGGGGGGGGGGGGGGGGGGGGGGGGGGGGGGGGGTGGGGGGGGGGGGGGGGGGGGGGGGGGGGGGGGGGGGGGGGGGGGGGGGGGGGGGGGGGGGGGGGGGGGGGGGGGGGGGGGGTGGGGGGGGGGGGGGGGGGGGGGGGGGGGGGGGGGGGGGGGGGGGGGGGGGGGGGGGGAGGGGGGGGGGGGGGGGGGGGGGGGGGGGGGGGGGGGGGGGGGGGGGGGGGGGCGGGGGGGGGGGGAGGGGGGGGGGGGGGGGGGGGGGGGGGGGGGTGGGGCCGGGGGGGGGGGGGGGGGGGGGGGGGGGGGGGGGGGGGGGGGGGGGTGGGGGGGGGGGGGGGGGGGGGGGGGGGGGGGGGGGGGGGGGGGGGGGGAGGGGGGGGGGGGGGGGGGGGAGGGGGGGGGGGGGGGGGGGGGGGGGGGGGGGGGGGGGGGGGGGGGGGGGGGGGGGGGGGGGGGGGGGGGGGGGGGGGGGGGGGGGGGGGGGGGGGGGGGGGGGATGGGGGGGGGGGGGGGGGGGGGGGGGGGGGGGGGGGGGGGGGGGGGGGGGGGGGGGGAGGGGGCGGGGGGGGGGGGGGGGGGGGGGGGGGGACGGGGGGGGGGGGGGGGGGGGGGGAGGGGGGGGGGGGGGGGGGGGGGGGGGGGGGGGGGGGGAGGGGGGGGGGGGGGGGGGGGGGGGGGGGGGGGGGGGGGGGGGCGGGGGGGGGGGGGGGGGGGGGGGGGGGGGGGGGGGGGGGGGGGGGGGGGGGGGGCGTGGGGGGCGGGGGGGGGGGGGGGGGGGGGGGGGGGGGGGGGGGGGGGGGGGTGGTGGGGGGGGGGGGCGGGGGGGGGGGGGGGGGGGGGGGGGGGGGGGGGGGGGGGGGGGGTGAAGGGGGGGGTGGGGGGGGGGGGGGGGGGGGGGGGGTGGGGGGGGGGGGGGGGGGGGGGGGGGGGGGGGGGGGGGGGTTTTTTTTTTTTTTTTTTTTTTTTTTTTTTTTTTTTTTTTTTTTTTTTTTTTTTTTTTTTTTTTTTTTTTTTTTTTTTTTTTTTTTTTTTTTTTTTTTTTTTTTTTTTTTTTTTTTTTTTTTTTTTTTTTTTTTTTTTTTTTTTTTTTTTTTTTTTTTTTTTTTTTTTTTTTTTTTTTTTTTTTTTTTTTTTTTTTTTTTTTTTTTTTTTTTTTTTTTTTTTTTTTTTTTTTTTTTTTTTTTTTTTTTTTTTTTTTTTTTTTTTTTTTTTTTTTTTTTTTTTTTTTTTTTTTTTTTTTTTTTTTTTTTTTTTTTTTTTTTTTTTTTTTTTTTTTTTTTTTTTTTTTTTTTTTTTTTTTTTTTTTTTTTTTTTTTTTTTTTTTTTTTTTTTTTTGTTTTTTCTTTTATAATATGAAAACCTCTGCAAATTTTCAGGGAAAAAAAGGATGTATATTATAGACAAAATTTGTACATTATATATTATAGACAAAATTGTACATATAAAAATATCAAGTGTTCCAAAAATCCTCTAATCCATATGAAGGCAAACAAACTCTGCCCATTCTTTCCTGACTTCATCAATGGCTGCTTGGGGGTATGGCGCTTGATCTTTTCCCTTGGCAAACTGCAATCCATAAACAACGATTATTAAGCTTTACAAAATAAAAAGAAATTCAGTCACAGACGATGTTTTTTTTTATAACCGACGTAGTCTATCGATTCAACGACGGTAATTTTAAATGACCGTCGTTGATAATACAAAAACCAAATAAAATGTTTCTGAAAATTTTTTTCTTACCTTCTTCTCAAACTCCAAGGAAGGATCCATGATGATGTCCCTCATGAAGCGCATGACATAATACCCGCATTCGACACTGCTGGGTTGCTTTGGTGTGCCTGGCAGAGTTTTCCAAATTGGTGCTTTACGGCCTGGTCTGCCTATGTGGGAATTATAAATTTTTAAAGCACTGTTCACGATGTTTTTGCCCTCCTCATCAACCACACGATTTCCAGGCAGAGGATCCAGAAAATAGACGGTTTCCCTCTTTGCCCTCACAATCAGCAAGACCCAATGACGGCTGCACAAAAATAAAATAAAAAACGACGGTTATTTATAAAAACCGACGTATTATATAGTTTCACACGACGTAAGAACTTAATAATCGACGTGATTATAAATTTATCACGACGAGAATTAACTACCGACGTGGTTAGTTGTTTCAAACGATGGTATAAATAAATAACCGACGTGGTTAGATGTTTCAAACGACACAGAATTAGTTAAACAGTTTTATAAGTGAAAATCATACAAACAAAATCCATTTAAGGAGACTAACCCTGGATTGTAAGGCATCATGAAAATCTGTTCACCATCTGTTTTCTGAAGTCGACTGGCTACAATTCGTGATCTGTCAGTTAGTGACCCAGCGTTGGCACTAACTTGAGCAGGGTCGATAAAGCCAACCATGCTGCACATATTTGCTTCTCTCAAAAGATCATATAAGCACCTAAATATATAAAACAAACGACGGTTATTTATACACAAACGACGTATTATATAATTTCACACGACGAACTGAAATAGAAACAGACGTGATAACTAATTTATCACGACGGTAAAAAAGAACAACGTGGTTAGTGATTTAAAACGACGCAATAATTAAACAACCGACGTCTTATGATATAATGTTTGATATTTGATTAGGACAAACCTCATATATACTGCAACCACAGTAGCCCCAATTTCTTCCATGCCTGCAAACTGTGTAATATCTTCATGCAAGACGAAGGTACTTCGATCTGCACCAAACACCTCCTTCTCAATGTTGAAGGTCATGATCTTCCCCTGTGGCTTTAGTGTAGTTTCCACATAACCACAAAGGGATTGTAAGGAAGATGGCACCTCCACATTTGAATAATCGAGTACTTCATCACCCTGTTTAAAGAAATAAAGCAAAATAAATTGTTGTGGTAATTCATTAAAAACGACGGCTTAAATTAAACAACGTCGTCTGATTATAATTTAAACGACGGTAATTAAATACCGTCGTTTTAGATTATTTATTACGTCGTAGAAAATAAATTCCGACGTCTAATGTTAAAACAAACGACGGTTTAAAGAAAAATATTGACGTCTGAAATGTGAAAAAACAAATTAAAAAGGCAAAGTTATGAGAATATACCTCCTCGTCATGCTTTTCTTCATCTTGTTTTTCTTCTTTCTTCTCTTCAACATTTGTGTCTTCCTCTTTGCCTTCATCTTTATTCTCTTTTTCTTCTTCCTTCTTCCCTTCATCAATTGTTTCTCCCATCTTCTGTTCATCTTTATTTTCTTCTTTCTTCTCTTCATCTTGATTATCTAAAGCCCCAGATTTCTGTTTTAAATAATAAAGAAATATATATATAAGACAGATTGTACAGAGAGTAAAAAAATTAAACCAAAACGTCGTGGTAAGGCATAACATAAGACGGTATGTAAGAATTATGGACGTCTTAAAATTATTAAACGATGGTAAATAATAAACGTCGTGGTAATTTTATATCACGTCGTTGAGGACAAAAACCGTCGTCTAAAAGCCACAAAGTACGACGTCTAATGGCGTGTAAAACAAGTAAACTAAATACGACGTGGTATTTAAATAAACACGACGGGTTATTTATAAAATCGTCGTGGTATGGTTTTAAAACGACGGGTTTATTCATAATAACGACGTCTAATGTTAAAAAAAAAACAGGGAATTCAAAGTTCAGTTATGTTACCGTTTGTTCTTGCTGTTCCCCATTTCTGGCAGTATCATCCTCTAAATGTAGGGATCTCACTTCAGCCCCAGAACAGCTTGCTTTATCAGACATTGGATTCATGGGACTAGTTTTCGGTTTAAGCATGCTTGGATCAAAATTGGGGATGAGGTGGGAAAGCTGACTTAGTAAATGTTCCCTCTCAGCCTCTACTAATTGTTTGGTTCTAGCTTCCATCTTCTTAGTCTCTTCTTGAAGGACAATTCTTACACTTTCCTTCAATTGATCAGCAAACTTCACCCTTTGTGGTCTAGGTAAATTGAAGAATTGCCTAGGGGAAATCCCAGCACCTACCCCTCTTACTCTCCCTGGATGCTCGGGACCCAAAGCCATGGTCAACACATCATTACTGCCAGTTATACTCAGACTGCCTTCAGCCACTTGTTTTTGCAAGTCATCCTAAAACAAAGACAAAAAAAAAAGTCAGCACAAGAAAATACACGACGGTTATTTATAAACAAACGACGCATTATATAATTTCACACGACGGACCAATATAGAAATCGACGTTATAATATATTTATAACGACGTTAATTAAAACCGACGTGGTTAGTTGATTAAAACGACGCAATAAATAAACCACCGACGTCTTATGCTGTAATTACAGAAAACAGAGTTGTGATTTCAGATTTAGATATTTCACGACGTTTTTGAAAACATTTCGACGTAGTAATAACATTAACACGACGGAAAACATTAACCACCGACGTCTTATGCTATAATTACAGAAAACAGAGTTGTGATTCCAGATTTATATCTTTCACGACGTTTTTAAAATATTTCGACGTAGTAAAATCATTCACACGACGGAAAAATATAATATAAGACGTAGTAAGAATTCTACACAGTAATATAAAAATTTAAAACAGAGTGTGTAGGCTTACAATTAATTTTGCTTTCTCTGCCACCTTTGGATCCGGGATGTTACCATGTTTGTCCTGTCTAGCTTTCTTCCATAAGGTAGATCGATCAATTTCTACCCCAGGCATGGTTTCCTCCAATTGATCCTCCAAACCAGCATATCCTTTTCGAGACAATCGATGATTGTACTCAAGTTTCTCCCTAATCTGTGCATGTTGAGAATGCACAGACTCAAAGTCTTTGGATAACCTTGAAGCTACAAAGGCATCCCATTCTGCTTTCTCTATGAATTTATATACTGCAGGGGGTTGGCTTAATTTCTCCCTCTCATTGATGTATGGAAGGATATAATGCCTCGTCAGTGTAGACTTGAAATCCTTCCATTTCTTGGCAGCAGAAGATAACACCGAGGTCTTGCCCCCTTGACCTACCACAAAAGCCATGTCAACGGCTTCCCAAATCTGCTCCTTTATATCATTGGGGATGTCAGCCCATTTCTTGTCCACAAGTGGGACTCTGGAGCGTGCCAACACACCAATGTAGGACTGCATCTCAGTATGTGCAGGGCCACATCCTTTCCCCCTTTTATTGTACTCAACAACTGGCTTGATTTTCTGCAATTTTCTCTTCACAACACGAGGCATTGTGCTCATACCTCGACCTGACTTTGAATCCTCAGAAATTGTTGTCGTGCTGCTTGGTTCTTTCTCAGCAGATGAAACAAACTTCATCTTCTTCAAGGGCTTGTCTTGAGGAGTTACCATTCCAAGCTCCTTACCTCCATTTTTTTTGGAGCCAGAGTACTTACTTTGGTCTTGAGAAACCATGGTTACAGAATAAACAAACCTGCAAGTGAAAATATTTCGTGAAAAAAATTAGAACACAAACGACGGTTATTTATAAACTACGACGTATGATAAGATTTTACACGACGTTATAACATAACATCAGACGTAATAAATGATTAAAGAAGAACAATATAAATGTTTAAACAACGACGAAAAAATATTAAATAAGACGTAATAAGAACTTATTACGTCGATATTTACACGACGTCGTGATATTCATATTAACACGGCGTAAATATTAATATAACGTCGTGTTATGTATATTCACACGACGTGAATAATAAGCTACCGTCGTATTTATAAGAAACCAAAAACATTTTTCTTTCTTTGTGAATGTTTGATTGCAGGTTTCATTTCTCTGAAACATGGTTTTTGTTTTTCCTAATTTGATAAAATACAAAGAAAAAAAGCTTTCTCATCTTTTTATAGACGACGGTATCTTATTATAACGTCGTGGTATGAACATTCACACGGCGTCAATAATAAGATACCGTCGTCTATATAAGATACCAAACCCTACTTTCTTTGTCTCTGTATTTTATCATATTAGGAAAAACGAAAACCATGGTTCAGAGAAATCAAACCTGCAACTAAACAAGCAAATAAAAAATTGAATGTCATTTTAAAAACAACTTAGATCAATTTTAAGACGACGCTAGGACGACTGACGAACCGTCGTGGTCTACGTATTTAACCACGTAAATAAAAAGCTACCGTCGTCTTATTTAGTTGAGTTAGTTATGTTCAAAGTTCAATCTTTCCCTCTCTGTCTGTGTATTTTATCAAACTTGGAAAGAAAAAAATGATTTTCGCCAGAAAAAAGGTAAAAAGATTTTCAAAACAAAAACAGTATGAGCATGCAATATAGCAACAAAAATAGTGAGAAATGAAAGCTTACCTTTTGCGTGCAATGAAAGCTTTCTCTCGGATTTTGGTGTTTAAGTTCAGAGGCGACGATGAAGACAAGAGGAAGACGATGAGATACTCTGACAGTGCTCTGACAAGGAAAAAAGACGAAAAGTTTTCTCTGGGAGATTGAAATGTTTTCTCGGGTTTGGAAACAGTGCATGTGTAAGTCAGGTAGACGAAAAGTTGTATATGTATACAAACCGTTTCATAGTAATAAGACGGCGGTTTACATAGAACGACGACGTATTAATAGACAAACTACGACGCTAATTTGAACTTATGACGTGGTACATAAATACGACCGTAGTGTTGTAGGTACCGCCGTAGTAAACTCCTAAATAAAAGTCGATAACTCAATATCTCGCGTCATGGTAGAAATATTTAACACGACGGTTGTTTTAAAGTTACGACGTTTATTTTTATAATATACGTCGTTTTATTGTAATATACCGACGTGGATAACACTAAACTAAAACGACGTATTATTTTTCCGACGACGTGGATTCGTTTTTAAACGTCGTTATGTGTAATATAACCGACGTGGATTTTATTTTTTTTATTATAAATATAATTCTTTTCCCCTTTTTCTTATAGTGTATTTTTCAAAAACAGTGCCTTATAGATATAGTTTTTTTTCCCGAGGAAATTAATGTTCTAGAATTTGTAAAGTTTCTTTTCTAGGTGACTGATTTAAATCAAATAAAAATATAAAACAACGACTGTTTTTGTTATACCGTCGTCGTTTCTTGTCGTTTTAAGTAAGAATAAAACGACGTAATATATTTGTTACCGACGAGAATTGTTTTTTTTAAACGTCGTTATGTGTAATATAACCGACGTGGATTTGGTTTTTTAATTATAAATAGGGTTTTTTTTCCACGGGTTCTTTCAGTTTTAGTATTCGATTAGGGTTTCAACTTCTTCTTGCCCCTTTCTCTGTCTCACCTCATCTCTTGGGAAGTTTTAGGAGGCGATTGTTTGGATGTGAATGTGTGTGTGCGTTTGTGTAGATACACAAACGCACATACATCATTCACTTCCAAAAAATTGTCTCTCTGATTGCAAATCTGTGGCTGCCGTCGTGAAATTTTAGGAGGCAATTGTTTGGATGTGAATGTGTGTGTGCGTTTGTGTAGATACACAAACGCACACACATCATTCACTTCCAAAAAATTGTCTCTCTGATTGCAAATCTGTGGCTGCCGTCGTGAAATTTTAGGAGGCAATTGTTTGGATGTTGATGTGTGCGTGCGTTTGTGTAGATACACAAACGCACACATATCATCAACTTCCAAAAAATTGTCTCTCTGATTGCAAATCTGAGGCTGCCGTCGTCAAATTTCAGAGGCAATTTTTGGATGTTAATGTGTATGTGCGTTTGTGTATCTCAAAGACACAAATACACATACATCATTAACCTCTAAAATATTGTCTTTCTGGTAAGATTATAATGAGCAACAGATCTGGAGTTCCATCTTGTAAGATTTCCTAACCCTTGTGATCTCAGAATAATCTGATTATGTCGGCGGTTTTCTATATAAACCGTCGTGGTTATTTCAATTCTTGTCGTTAGGTAGATCTACCGACGTAGGATAACAAAATCGAAGAAATAAATTTTTTTAAAAAATTCTTATTCAGACGACGGTTTAAATATAATTTATGACGTATAAAGTGGACAAATACGACGTTAAATTCTATAATACGTCGTTATATGAAAACCCCAACTTGGTAAGATTGAAAGATGTCGTCGTAGAAATACGAGAAAGACGTCGTTATATTTACCTTTGCCGTAGTTGTACATTAATTTAATACGGCGGTATTTTGTATTTTACCGCCGTGGATTTATTTGTAATTTTACGTCGCCTTATACGAAAACTTGGTCGTGTTAATTTCGGGTAAAAACGACGGCTTTTTTTGAAACCGTCGTCTTTACTTTCTACGTCGGTCGGTTCATAACTTCCGCCGTTATTTGTTGGCTATGATTTTACCTCATGAAAATCCTATTTCAATAAGACGTCGGTTTTTAAATTAAGTACGTCGTGTTTTTGGAACAGCCATTTGAAACTCCATTTTTTAGTTGTCTAATGTGTTATTACACGGCGGTTTTATAAAACCGTCGTCTTTTAAAAAACAACGACGGTTTTCACGTAGACCGTCGTGTTTTTGTGGTCGTCTTTTTCACTTTTTGTAGTAGTGATATGTGCTACATTGGATTAATGAAATTGTGCAGATGTCAGACTTGATTAGACGTCGTAGGGCGGTGACGGCTACACCGAGTTCGGAGCCCCCGGCTCAGCCGGTATCAGCTGCCACTGCTCCAGCACTGATGGAGCAGGACCACGTGCTAGCTGGTCCTGGGGGATCCCAGGCGGCTGCATCATCATCTTCTTCGGTGGTGCAGCCTCTTAGCGCTAGGCGGCGACACCGGCCCGCTACCACCACCGACACCACATCCACTGACTGTACTGGTGCCTCGGGGGCACCTACAGGTAATACCCTTCCCTTTCATTTTTTGTTTTAACATTTTTTTAATTGGGAATTTGATGGTTCAATTTGATTGTATATGTAACAATATTGTCCTATCCCTTTGCAGCCAAGAGGAACACCCGAGGGCCGTGTCGGCAGCTGAAGACGGCGAAGGTCACCCGGGTGACCAACAGTCGTATCAGCATCGGATATGACGAGCGCCATCGGGCTGCACCGACGGCGGACTTGCATAGCTCCTTGGCCCACGACATTGGCCACGTCGTTCGGACCCATTGCCCGATGCAATGGAAGTCTTGGAAGGTCATACCTGACGAGATCAAGATGCAAGTTCGCGGCCAGTTGTCGGTATGTTTCCTATCTTTTAATTATTTTTCTTTCAAACTTTATATATTTCTATTACTTAATGTATGTAATCAATTTATTGCAGACGAACTACGACTTAGAGGACCTCAACGAGGAGACTTGGCGTACGTCAACAGACTCTTCGGTGAGAGGTACAAGCAGTGGAAGAGCGACTTGCACCACCATTTCCAGGCGTTTGATGATCCGAAGTCGCTCTTCAGGAGGGTTGCCCGAAGGAGCTTGAGGGGCGGGAGGATAGTTGGGCGTGGCTCTGCGCTCATTTTCAGGCGCCCGATTATGTGGTATTTTTTTAATAATATTTGTTTAATGTTTATTTTATTTTTTATATCTCATTATTATTTAATTTATTTATAGTTCAATTATTACGTTTTATTTTTGTATAACAGAATAAAGCCCAAGTGAATAAGGGCAATAGGAAGAAGAAGACTCTTCTTCACCATTCCGGCTCCAGGCCCTTCTCATATAGGATGGATGCACGGCGTCGGGTAAGAATAATATAATTTATATTTAATTTTTAATACGTCATTATTATTAATTTCTTTTGTTCATACTAATATTTTCTTCTCTTGTTCAATTAAGGGGGGGGTCGAAATTCCCAGAGATCGACGTCTTTGGTGAGTTTATGTTCGACCTGGGAATGAGTTGGCCGAGTCCCTTCATGTAAGTATTATGTATTTTTAATTCTTATGTTACACTTTCAATTTATATGCATTTTTGAATTTATATTTTATGTAATGTTAAACAGACGACGATGGTGGAGAGGAGCCAGTTGGTTCTTCAAGAGTCCGCCTCCCAACTTCCTCCCGAGACTCCGATCGAGTCTGTGGATCCTCCGCATGATGCTGGATTTCAGATTTTGACGCAGACGTTGGATCAGACTCTCGGGAGGAGGCCGGGAACGTATTGTAGGGGGATGGGGAATGCCCGACAGAGGGAACCTCGACCGCGGTCATCGTCGCAGGCAAACAGTCAGGTGACTGTTTTGACATCGCGGGGTTGCCGAGCTTGAGGGTCAGATGTCGGTGATTCTGCAGTCGCTCGCGCGGTCCGGCATTCCAATCCCGAATTTTGGTGCGTCGACCTCCGAGCCCGTCCACCCCGAGCATCCCCAGCACACCACGGCCCCTGCAGACCCATACCTCCGAGCCGCATGTGGCAGATGACCAATTAGATTTGGAACATTATTTGATTAGTTTTTTATTTTTATAATTATTTTACAATTTGTATACATTTATTTTATTTTATATAATAGATGTTTTCTTTACGATTAATTTTTTTATTGTAATTTCATTTTAATTAAAAAAAAACCAAATTTATTTTTTTACAAAATTAAAAATCAAATAATAATAAATTTTTTTTAATAATATATATTGCTTTTGCGCGACGAAACGTAAATCGTCGCGCAAAAACATTTAACAAATATATCTTAATCATGCGCGACGAATAATTTCGTTGCGCAAAGATGTGTATGCGCGACGAATAAGATGTCGTCGCGCAAGGTTCATGTAGTTCGCGCGACGGACAATTCCGTCGCGCAGTTTTTTTTGCGACGACCTATTTCGTCGCGCAAATATTTGTGCGACGGACAATGAGGTCGTCCCGAAATGTTTTTTTAAACGAAGATGTTATACGTAGCGCAAACTGCGCGACGAATGACATTTGTTCGTCGCGCAAATCCTTTCTTCACGAACTTTGCGCGACGCGCGACGAAACTTCTGTCGCGCATAATGATGTGCGACTAAAATCATTTTTGCGCGACGAAGACCCTTTCGTCGCGCAAAGACTAAAATGTAGTAGTGTTAGCACCAAATCACAATTTGACACATGCAAAAATAACTTATAAAAAAACATGAGGAAAAATCACTATACCCATAGCAAATTGTGATTGGTAGGAGATTAGGAGTTCCTACTTACAAGTAAGGAGATATTTTCTTGTTCAGACTGGTACCCAGTTTTATTGTAATGATTTTTCTGTTGCTTTTGGCTTTGAACTGGTCTCTGTAATGATGTGCAGACCATGAAAACGACTTGAGCAATCTAGCAGCAGATTGCATTAATCTATTCACGTTGTCTTCTTTTTTCTTTTGCGAACAACAGCAGAAGTGATACTAAATAGATATCATTAAAAGTGAAGACAACCCGGAATCTGTTGAAATCACATAAAGATGTTCAGTTTTGTCATTTTATTGTCTATTTGCAGTTTTCTGCATAAACAATCGTTCATAATTCATTGATGTTGACCAACGACCAAACCAACCAAACTTGGCTAAGTAAAAAAATAAGATCCACCAAATTGGCCATCAATTATACATAGTGCAGGGTTAATGGACCCATCCTTGGCCTATCTATATACAATAAAATGGGCCAGGGAATGTCTTACAATATGAGTTTGAGTCTTGATCTGTAACGATGATTATCTTCAAATGAATTTTTATAACTGGCTGTCCGGACTACGTGGTTGTGCGATCATTCTTACAAAAACTGAATCCCCTTTCTTTTGATTTCACTTCTCTTCATATGATAATTCATCCTTGTGAGTGAGTTGCCGTATAAGGTAGAAGAATCGCGGTCTTGACATGAGGACTTACTAGTTCCATGGCTTTCAACATTGTCAATCACAGTGGTATTTCCCACTTGATGTTTCTAGCAATTATCTCAGGAAGAAAAGTTTTGTTTTCAAATATTTCCGAATCAAACTATCCTTCAACTTCCATATTACAAATGGGACATATGTTTGCTGGTACCAATTTCTTTTCATGTTATAAAAGCTGGGTGCATGTGATGATCTAGGTGCCAACAACTGAAAAAAGGAAGAAAAAATATCTCACCTATATAGTTCAATTAAATCGATCAAGTTTTTGGACATCTGTATTTTTTTTTTTTTTTTTTTTTTTTTTTTTTTTATACAATTCAGGTAGAATTCTGCTTCTAAAACTATAAAGAGAAAAGGGAATCGAACTTGAGTACGAGGGACAAAGAAACACCGTCTTGTCCTTGCCTAACCAACAGTTACATTGGATTTAAAGTTTTTAAAATCAGTTAGATATTTTTTCTTCCTTTTGGGATCAAGAAGTGATTATATATTTTATGAGGTGCCTCAAGAATTTGGTGGGATGACATAAGTTTTCCCTTGGCCACTTGCTTATTTTCTTTCATATCCTAATCTCAAACTCAAACTCAAATTTTTGGCTCAAACTTGGTGATGTTTATCTAAGTTGCATTATATGTAGATTAAAATTAAAAAGAATTATGTTCTTCTGATTGGTTTACGCGCATGCTTAGGTTTTTTTTAGTACAAGTGAGAGTCTAAACTAGAGATGAAGGGGGATTTCTCACACACACATACAACTAAGATGTCATTGGGATTTGAACCTAAGACCTCCTGTCTGCAAGGTCAATGCCTTTTTTCATGGACTAGACCATGTTAGCGGCATGTTTATTTTTTAATATAGCAAGCCAATCATCTGATCAATATTAGATTATTGCATAGTAGTTTTAGAACTATATTGAAGTGGAATGGCCATTAAAATATTAGAGTAGATAGAAAGCATTCAATTGCCAAAACATGGTGCCATAATCCAATCCAATTATAATCAGTGTACTTTAACCATACCAGCAAGCAACCCAATACCATCTCCTTCTTGGCCTTTACGTACGTACATACACCGTACACGTGTGGATGTTCACACTTTCGTACTGTTGTGCTCTGCCAAGGCCCTTTATTTTACTTCAATTATTTTAGCTTTTTCAGTGGGGCATTTAGGAAGGTTTTGGACTGTATCATATCCTCGAATGAAGACAATGCAGAAGGGGGTACTGGTTGGTGAGGCAACCTTCTCTCCACATTAGAAAGTTTTTCACTTTAACAAATGAAAAAGGTTGGGAGCAACCCAAAAGGAAGGAAAGCACAAAATGCATAGATTCTCTGCATGCTTTGCTTTAATATCTTTCCGTCCCTTGAGAAATGAGGTTGAATAAAAATTCAAATAAAATAAAAGCATGTTTTCCTCTTTGCTCTGTCCTCCACCATACTGGACATGCATTGCTTTGTCCACCATATTGGACATTGGATATATATTTCTGTGTGTTATGACTAGGATGAAAGAATGCTTCAACGCGCGTAAAGTTCATACTTTTTTTCAGACTTTATTTTCTCTAAAAACTGTGTGCAAACATGCTCAAATGTACAAGGATACTTACATATATCTAGAAACTAATATCCCGGTAGCTTATAGGCTAGCACGTTATGCTATGGGATTAAATCATGTTGTTTGGATGGCGGATCCGTCTGATTTGCTTGTGGATCTTTTGATCCAAGATTGTAATAACCTTTGTGTTTTCTTCTAATACAATTTTGTTTCCCCTCACAAAGAAAAAAGCCAAATGTGCATAATATTTATTTATTTTTAATCGGACAGCGATTTGATATATTATATTTGAATATAAGTGTGAAGTGGTCGTGACCCTTCCAAACTCCAAAGACTCTTTCGAAGTCTACATAAAACTTACACATGTATATGGATATTCAATGCTCGGGAACAAAAAATATAACTTTTCTTTTTGAAAAACTGGAGGATTTGAACTTGGATCTTCTATATCATTGAAGAAAAGAAATACAACTTCCGCGAAAAATTAGTTGGTTAATAAAATATCACCATATGTATAAAGAAAAATGAGGAAAGGAAACATCAAGCTTTTGGTATTGCTAGAAAATTGGTATACACATACTAATATGTACTCAGTTGGTGCTTGTTTTGAGAACAACTTTAGATGGATCTTAGACTTAGTAATGAAAATATTTAATCCTTCTTATCATATAGCATCATCTAAAATGTGAGTGCGTACGACTTCTTTTTTTTAACTTTACAAAGCCACCTAAAGTTCCCTAGCACGAACATTTAGCTTTTGATAAGCATAATGAAATTAGAAGATTTTCGACGTCTGTTTGCCAATCACATTCTCCATTGTCATACAGAAACAGAACTAAGGAATGTCAAAGATGCTACCAGATATGAGGTATATGAAAATGGGGCTTTCTGATATTGCTTTATGCATTGAACTTTTTCCTTTTGAACCCAATAAGATTGCACAAGCATGTTTAAGCTCTGAGCTTAAATCCCAAATACATCAGAATTAATACTCTTTGATAAAGAAACAAATAAAATTTGACCAAAAAGTTAGGGCCACTACAAATGCGGTGGCTCACATTGCAAAACATAAAAGAGAACCTCGAAAGTTAAATGGTAGAAAATCGGCCCTTGATTTTCCTGGAAAGGAAAAGTGCAAAATAATATAAACGCGATTGAGAAAAATAATCACACAACTACAAAAGAATTTGTAGAGGGTCATTCAATACTAGTGTTCCTAGATTGTATAGGAATATTCAATATAGAAGAAAGATGAAAAACAAGTGCACGCAGTCGAGTGTTTTCCTCACACTGTTTAAAGATCACTTTGATATAGCTCCCTAAAAGTCCTATATATGTATATTGTATACGACTTAGGGTTACATTGGGTAGCAATTAGGGTTAAAATATGACACAAAACATGTTGGAATTAAAACATGAAACGAGGTCCATCCTCGTAGGCTCAATTTGCTACTTTAGCCGGCATATATTCCCGATTTTTCTTTTAGTATATCACTTGAAGTAGTCGATATATAGGTGGGCACAGTTTGGTTTGGCTTTAGTTCGAGCCTGATTATCCCTAAACCCAATGTGAATTTTCTATTCTACTTGCTTCCTCGCCATAATCGAATCTCACCTCCACCCTTCTAACAACCGACTAAATTGATGTTACCTTGTCCGTGCGGCCCTCCTCACGTACAAGAGAGCATCCTAAGTTCTATTTTCTTTATTTATTTAACAACATATAGATGATACTCGTTTTGGGTTGTAGAAATGATCCTTGAATTAAGACTAAAGGATAAACAGTTTGGATCTAAAGGCGGCCTTGAGGGGGTTTAAAACGGAGCCACTATAAATCCAATTTTTTAGGGGCCCCAAATTTTTTGCCCATGCATATATCATATAAGTATGTTAAACGTAAATTTCCTTATTAAGTTAGAGCTTATCTTGGTCGGTTGATCGTGTTTTACATCCCACACTATATATCTCATGAGATGACTAAATTAGTTAAAAGCCGTAAATTTTTTTGAGTAAAA